CGTTCCGTGTTTTTTTGTGGGGGGGGGGGGGGGGGGAGGGGTAGGTAGCTGCGCATTGCAGGCGGGAGCTGATAAATTGGTACATTAATCCAGCAGTGTCAGTGGGCTTTCAAGTGGGGGGTGGGGGTTGGTTGGAAAAGGAGCTATGCATTGAAGGCAATAGCTTGGATGCATGAGCGCCATTGAGGGCGCGACTGGGCCATATCTGACGATGTGTGTTTCAGACAGATTTAAACGTTTATTCCATTGTTTTAGCATTTCACTGTGATATTGTCGAAAATTCGTATGCAGAGAATTCCCCTTAGGATGTGTAAAACTTCATTTAAAAATACTTGACTTGACTGTTAGCTTCACTTGGTATTCTAGCTGTGAACTTTTCCAGCGAATGGTCTTGCGTGCATATTCATGGCTAAATACAGGCTACCCCAAGTTATTCTGATCAAGAAAGTACATTGGTCCAAGAAACCACTATTCTTGACAGTTAGGCCATTCTGATTTGTGTACTCGAGAGTTTCCAGCGTGTTATATTAATGCCATGCCATCTGGGTGGTGATTAGGACAGCTAACTAGGGCCTTTGGCTAAATAACTGACCTCTAGGCAGCCTTAGTTAGGGTGAGTCAAAAAAGCAGTCGAATTTTCGAGGCGCAGGATACCAAACTTCCTGGAGAACCATGAAAAATCGTTCAGCTTTAACACTTTTCCGGTTCCATGACACCACAAAGAAGTACTGCCAGATTACCCGAACCTAGACAGGGGGAGAACCATAAGGATTCTATTAATTGGCTCATATTGTGTGAAGGAATCTTACCGTTACACTAAACACCCTCTTTGTATGGTTTAGTAGGCTGGCTACATAGGTACGCAAACCGTATCGTGGCGATACGACTCCCTGTGTTGGCTGTGAATGTATTTTAGTCACATCCGCACCTATCTACACTGTCCGTAGACACCGTTCGATGTATTTACTGGTGTTGCGCCATCCAGTTTTTTCTGATACTGGTCCTTTAATTGGCTGGAAAACCAGATAATTGCGCCCGCATCTACGCTGCCACCCTGATTCGGTCTGCACTGTACTAATACTCATAGTCAATTCATGTCATTGCCATGGGTCCTTCACTGTCAGCTACCTTCGTAAAAGGTTGACGGACGGAACACTGAGTATACCCTTTCTGCTTGGTATTTGCTGACCATCAGGACAGGTTTTTGTTGATTTGATAAATGTTTCGAAATTTGTTCCGTCTTCCGAAAATGGTTATCTCGGAAACCCGATAACTGATGACCAGGTTTATAACAGACCAGTTGTATTCTTAAAAAATGGCTTGCGCTCGAGGGTAGACATTTGCTGCTATTGTACCGCTCGAAGAACGATGTTGACTTTTACCTTGACCGCTTTGCTTCCCACGCTTATGCGCACTTTTGCCGTTAAGCCATTATCTCGACGAATGTAAGTTGTCGCTTAAAAAACACCTATACTGTGTATGCTGCGTGGCTTTTCCAGTTGCACCACACTTTAACCATAATTGTATGCATTCAGTTCGCTAGACTCGGCGTACTTTCACAATTAGAAACAGCAGTTTATGCGCAGTTCAGCTGCCACTAGCGTGCGCTGATTCATGTGCAACGTTTACACACGTTTTCCCACTCTAGAGTCCCATTTATTTTTCTCAAACGAAATCAGTTCTTTCTCCCTCAAGGAAAATATACTTCGGTATCTCGGTTACACAGCCAACTGAAATATGAGCCAGTCTTTTACGCGGTTGAATATCCCGCCATCGCCAGCTTGATTGGCAAGGGAGTGTATTTCGCCAACTTTGTACAATCTAATGTTCAAGAGTAAAATAAGCCTGACGGTAACAGTGACTGCACTTACTTAAGGAACTCTAAAAGGAGCGCACCCGGCTGTGGAAGAGTCATCAGCAACCTATTAAGTAGATTTGTGTCGAGAAAAATGCGTCTAATTATATCTATTTGTCTGGTTGTGCAATGATCGGAACCGGTATCACTAGGACTTTAGGTAATTCAGTACCTACCGGCCGGCCTGTTCGTGGTTAGATCCTATGCGTACTTTTCATGTTGTGCGAAAGACTTGCTCGATTTGTCAGCACATCAACTCGTTTGCTTCCTTCAGCTTGTATGGCAACTGCTTTTCCGACTGATGCGACCGCTGAGGGGTTTAGTTTCCTTAATTTGCTATCATCCGGGTGTTGCATGGTAGCGGGCTCTGTCGAACATGCCCACTCAAATGTACACCCTGATTGGAGGGTAGTCAGACTCATGTAACCTGCAGGTAGTGTCGATACCTTCGTGCAGTGTACTGGTACCAATCATACTGTCAGATGTGTTCTACTAAACTCCAGAGCAGCGCTATACAGTAGTAAAACTGCTTTTTGAGCCTTTACTTTCCCTCACTGAGTTATTTTAAGAAATTTCGTCCCAGTACATACCTAATCCTAGGGCCAACGCACCGATTCCGTCTCAATTCTCTTACATCTCATAAATTTACACCTCATCCCCCACGGCTTGCATATGATTCATTGTATAAAGACAAATTACCGATAACCGCTGATTGGCCTGCTTACCGTTTCGAAACCCAGTAGTCCCTGCAGTCATCGTATTAAATTCCTTTACTACGCCAAACCACCTCATCAATGGAGCACTGTTCATCTTTCATCAATATCTATCACTGTTTGCTGAGCTAACCACGTAAATTTTCTAAAGATCAGGTATGCAAGTCACTGAAAACACGATGCTTCGTTACTTGTTTTGCTAGGGGTCTCGAAACTGTGCGAACTCAACCTGTTGGTGATAGGAAACAACCGGAGGAAACCGTGCACGAGGAAGGTAAATTGCACACTTCGGAACTTGCTGGTGGCATACAACTCAACCGCCCTCTTGATGGATACGATGCCAATACAACATCGGAGTCTCACATCGACTGTCATCATCCGGCAGTTAACATGTCCTCAACAGGCAGTCCTACAGAGAATCTGGTAAGTGCTGTCGAATGCCTCATCGGTGAGTATCCTTCATCATTTCCAGGCATTTTGCTTGTACTGTGAGTGCTCCAACTGGTTCCCTGTGTTCTCGTTACTCTCGCTTCCCTTCGGACTTTCCAGTTACCAAACTTGACGACTGTCGGCTTCACTTAACTTGTTAGCGTTCAATTCGATGGCATCTCTGTGCCGTTGTACATCTCCTCAACCCTATTGTTGTTCGTTGTCATATTTTCTTACCTGATTGTCATATTTTCTTTACCTGATCGTGTGTATGCACTACGCAATCCAACCTCATTAACATATGTCACTTTGCAAATTAATCATTCGTGAGGAGCAACGACCTGCGTCGTTGTTGCTTAGTTTCCAAATCTAAAGAGGCACAACATCCAATCAAGTTTAGACATGATTGTTAACTGCTCACATATCCAGGCTTAAGTCTGGCTTTGCTTGTTTCTGGTTTTTAGGTTAAGATCGCCTGACGCGCACTGACTGAAACCCTTTCAACATCGCACCTTGTGTAAAACCTATCCACCGGTAGCTTGCAGTAGAATAGCTCTCGCGTGATAAAAAACTCAGTTCCATGCTTCTGATGAGTTACTGCTGTAAAGCGAATGCTACTCCTACAAGCAATACCGTCTGTACGTAGTTTGGAAAATCACATCTGCAGTTTGCCGCCGCTGCATTCGATCGTGTTTCTTCGCCCTTGTTAATACCTCGAATGACGTTCAGGAAAGTCCGCGAATAAGAGTGACTACAACAACTTTCCGAAAGTTGACTTAAATGAGATTTTAGTCCTCTTGTACAGGGTTTTCTCGCATGTGAAAGCAGCTCCACACCACTGTAAGAACGTTGGGTACTCTTCAGTAACATAGATTGGTTACCGTTTTACAGTTCCCGAGGTACGGGAACTGTCTCCGGTTCAGACAAGGGGTGGAAGGAAAAAGTTTCTGACGCATTTTTTTTACTGGTTGACATTACATTATTACATTATCGTATTACTATTATTATTATTATTGTTATTGCTATTATTATTATTATTGTTATTGTTATTATTGTTATTATTATTATTATCGTATTACATTATCGTCCTTGAACTCACCGATATCGCCGGATGCTTGGGTCATTACGGTTATGTTATCTATTATCCTAACTGTCCGCTTTACGGCTGCATTGACTATTGATCTTTGTTTTAAGACCGACCTTCCTGGAATTTGTGCTTATGCTTACATAAGATTGCTTAGGCTATTGCAAAACTAATCTGCATAATCTCGCAGAAGGAATTGGCAATAAAATGCCAGGTTGTTGAAGTGCGCCATGAGGGAAAGCAAAATTTAAAAATGGTTCAGCTGTAACACCCTTTCGGTGCCTAGCTGCCATGCCACCAGTAGGAAGCACGAGGGCTGGGATACTTCCAGGTTTCCCAAGCCTAGACAGGGGAAGTCGAGAGGTAGAGGTCGCATTTGAACCATGGACCTTCCATTCAGTAAATTTGCGCTCTAACCACTAAGCCATCTCATCCCGATGGAAAATAAGCCGACCCTTGGTCATCACTTCCAGCTAAACTAAATGGAAACTAAACATAGCTAGTGGATTGGTAGGTGCAGAACTGCTAATTGATTCGCAGCTGACCCTTAGCGAGTCACATATGTTATGCTTTGTGCGTTATACTTCCCAAAATGTTTAACTCTCTGCAGTGTGGTTCTACGACGGGTCACTATCGTAACTGGTACCTGGTCACTGCTCTTGACACTGATCAACTAAGTTAACCTCCGGTCCGTGGAAGTGACATTTTGTGGAGAGCAGTTGTCATGTGACCCCGAGTACGGGCATAGAGCTGCTGCATAAATTTGTCTGTCATAGAATAGCTGCAGCACGGTTAGTGTTAAAAGTGGATATACGCTTTTTGCCAGGAAGTCAAACTTATCCGCGTTGCCATAGAGCTACTCCGAATTGGCAAACCTCACCGAGCAGAGGAGATACCATTTTTACAAGCACTTTTTTTCTAATTGCTACTCCGCTTTTTCTCCAGAGTTCCATGATTCTTTGCGAGGAGATAAAATCCCTGTCCGCTTTTTACGACTTAGTGCAGCGAATTCCTGATGGGCGAGTTACCCTTTTTGTGTGTCGTAACGTTTGTGTGGCTAGAGTTGATGAATGTGATTCATCTTCCGATGCAGTTCACCGTGTTAGGTTCACTACAGCCGAACTACATTGTCTCAGTTCTGTTTCAATAGCCTCCATGGCTCTAAATCACCTCATCCAATTTTTCCTCATCTTTATTCTTTCGTTTTTGGTCGCTTTCTACCTTTTAACAGCCATCTAGCTTTAAAGCCAACGATGCAAATTCGTCCAGTCCTGGATCCCAAGTTCGACGTGATTTCATTCTACATGCAAGTGAATGCGCCGTATCTTCTACGCCCAGACAAGAACACGCTATGACTGAAAGACGGCAAAAGGTGAACGGATTAGAAAACAAAGCCGACCATGCACCTCCGAGACTAACTGCTGCCGCCCTTAGTTTACAGTTGTCAGCTGAGATGAACCAGCTAGAGGCCTTAACGACCTCTATTCAACACCTGACAGAAATGGAATCCTTGCGACAGTTTGCTGTGGCACAAGCAGAGACAGTGGGTTTGGCACAGCTGCTCAAGGTAAGCTGTTCCAAGACTTTGTTTACCGTTAGTGTTTTTCTTCTTATGTGGCGCCACACTGAAAAGCTTTTTCTTTGCCCCCATCATCTCTTAGATTGGTCGGTCCAATGCGGATTCCACGCTCATCCCGAGGCCCTCTGAAGAACACGCGAAATCGCCTGAGAAACGATCTCAGTGCACCTCAATGATTCCAGACAGCACACGCAGTGGTCACCGCTCTCCCCATTACGAAAGCGTACTTCGAGCAGCAGCAGAATTTCACAAAGTTAGTGTAGCATATCGCCAAAGAGACCCCTGAGCTGAATCCAAGTTTCTCTTCATCTTTTCCTCTTTTCTAGTTTACTCAACTTTCGTAATTTCCTGGAACTGTCCACAAAAGTTCTCATTACAAAAATTATTGACGCGGCATGCTTAACCAGCATTCAAGACTAATTCATTGTGAAACCAATGGGTAACTCATCCTAGGTGGAAGCTGTGGTTATTGGGCGTCACAAACACATTTAGTGTACTGAAAGATATGAGTTCAAGCTTGGTGTTGCCGTTGTCAGGCGGGACTCGTTACTGTCCGACCTACCTTATATACCGTAAATCCTATTGTCCCCATCGTTCCCAATCGAGCATTTTTGCTGTCCCATTGGGCCATTTCAATATGCCTCGGTCTTCATTGGCTTCCGATCCATAATCGCACCCTATCCCCAATAACAATTGTTCTTATCCTCTTATCCGTTTCCGTACTAATTGGCTGCGTTCTCTGTGCTTCCAATATTCACTTCGTGTTCGATGTACTGATAAGAGACAGTGGAATGGAGTGTCACAAAATTACGGATAGGAGTAATTCTATGAAAATGTTTTTTTTTCTCTAGGCACTGGTTTCAAGTGGGGACCTTTGCCTTACATTTTACGCGTTGTTTAATTCTACAAAATTCCGTCCAACCGAAGTATCTCCAACCAGTTTCTAAATCGTCCTACGATATCTGTGTATCTGTGAAGTTCGAACAGGCTTTAAAAAGCGTGCTTAGAGAGCATCTGACAAACATATTAGCTCAATAGCAGTGAACACGAACTTCGTGCCTGTTGTTGACCACGAAAGCTGGAGAGATTGGTAGCGAAATATTCTCAACCTGACTTAGCTCTTGCTAGGAAGTGCAAGGATGACCTTATTGATGGCCTTTTGAATTTCAGTCACGGTCGTATTCACCGTCTACATCGGTGACAATTTAGGGTGAACGGAGTCGAACTCCGTCCTCTTATGCGCCTGGCTGCCTTCATTCTTTTCAGTATAGGGTTTCTATAAGGGATATTTGTTACTGAAGTACTCTAGCTCGTATGGTGTTCCACTGTACTTCGTCTACTTGAACGACTGTCTATTTTCTGTGGGCTTCTGTTTAGCTGGATGTGTCTGTACAAACCAGTCCAATGGGTCATCATTGGTCCATTCGGGCAAGTGTGCCACCTCTTTGTTGTGTTCTGTTCTGTTCAGTTTTGTACTTTGGGTTTTGTTAGATACACTCTTTGACCGTTGGTCAGAATGTGGATTTTAGTCATGTAGTCGTCATCCTTTCCCTAAATTATTTTCGTTTGGTACCTCTAGTTCGGACAACTTTATTTTAGACTAAGCTTTATAATATTGTTAATTGGCCTACTTCAAATGCTAGTGCGCTTGATTAGTTTATTTCTGACGTGTGTTTCTGACGGACCCAACTGCCTATCCAACATACTAAGTGTAACAGACTTGGTGGTAGCTCAATAATCCTCTGTTTTAGAAGATCACGATGCTCCACCGGACATAAATATCATGCCAAGTACTCTTCTGCGTTGTTATTCGTACAACAACTTGTGTACGATATTTCAGGATGGAGGCCGGTGGCTAGCTTGAAGGCGTCCATGAGGGATTTCGGATTCCAACAACCAAAACAAAAGTCCGTCTTTTCAGCCACTGGGCTAGATGGTTTGAATTTTTTATGAAACGGGCGTATATAAGGGGACTATCGAGTATTTATGGTAAACCACTGACCGAACAGTTCATGTTTCGGACCCGAGCACAACCACTGTTCAGGCTCAAGAAACGTGCCATTTTCATATCATGAAAACTCGCCAATGATATAGTCCGATGGTTGATTTTTCTTTCTCCGGTATCGACCTGCGTCATCGTTATGCCAGTATACGATAAAAAACGCCAACTCATGTTGCTCTTGTTCCTTCTTAAGGCCATCCAATTGTTCAATGTTGTCATTCCCAAACAACCCAGTTTGATTTGCACACCAATATATAAGAAGCACCGTTTCATTGAGTTAGTTGGATCCTTTACTTTTGAGTGTGATTCATTCAGCTGGGTTTGCACTGTTCATGCAGGTGGAACGTCGGTTGAGTGAACACAGGACTGAGCTCCGCTCATCTCGTCGTATCGAGGATAAATCCATTGGGTCCCCGCTTTCTGCTACATCGGTTCCTAGCAGCAGTTCTGAGAAACAAGTATCCACATCGACCAACTCTGAAAATGTAAAGAGTGAGTGAATACACCGGACGAGGACATCTCTGCTCCCCCGTTGTTCACAGGCTCTATGTTTTCCTTCAACATTTTCAATTTTAGATGAGTGTGTGCGGAAATCCAAAACCATTTCAACGACACCAAGCCTGTCGGTTCAAAGCAAGACTACGGCTTCGGAGATTTCCACTGACCTATCTGGGTCGGTTTCTGCTTGTGAAAATGCATCATCCCTTCCGGTGGAAGCTCTTTCTGCAGCTGTTGATTCATCCAGAGCAGCTTCTGTGTCAACGAAACTGGAGGGTTCACCATTGATTGGCGAAAAACACTCTCGCAGTATATCCGCACATTCTAGCCATATTGGCAACACAAAACGGAAGGCAAGTTGTCTGCTGTGCCACATTCTTTTTCTGGAATTTGGCCGACCTCTATTTGAAACACCACATAGCGTAACAGTAATTCGGCGTAGTGTCGTTTTTCGGTTTCCTTCCTAGGTTTCTTTTCTTAGGAGGAGCGAAACACTACCTCTCTGTCTATGATCGGGTGTGAATTTCTGTACTATAGTCCGACTCCCACACACCCCCACATCTTACCTGTTGGTGATTATTCTGTTCTCCTGTTTAGCCACCTAGTTGTTCAGTCGCAGTTGCTGAAGAAAGCTCTTCATCAACTCCACCATTGGTTGGTGACAAACGATCTCCGAAACATCTTAGGTCAAAACCGACAAATAAGCTCCGTCCCCCAGAAGATCCATCAGATACAGTTAGCAGTGGAGCACTGGCCCTCGTGGACAGGTATGTTGACCGTTTTTAATAGTGATGGTAATATTTTGCATAATGGTGTCTTACATTTCCAAGTATTCCAGTGCTCTTATATTTCTCTGTATTTCTTGATTATGTCCTCTTGACGCATTGTGGAATGTCGTCACTAACATTATCATCAGGAACAGAAATATTGGTTCTAACGTTAGTGATTCACTACCAAGGTTTATATCTGAAGCTTTAAAATATTAAAAAAAATGGACGAGGAAGGGATTTGGTGCTAGCCTACCGGAAGCATTTGGAGCCGTCTACACTTCCGTGCACTCAGCAGGACTATCTGAAAAGAAATTGAGGGAACGAACCCCACTGACATTGGTTAGGTGCCATTTCTTACAACGTTGTTAGCCAAGCACAGGAAGGTCACGAGGATGTCATTCCAGAAAGCCGACCGCATCAACAACACCTAAACTCTTCGTTATCTCTTTCTCACCCTTCTGCCAAATCACAGTTTGTTTCATTATGGAGGCAGCGTGTAGGACAACACTCATGAGGGCAGACGTTGATTCGGCATGTCGAACCACTTCAGACAGTCGTACGGTGTATTTCCTTGATGGATGTGTATTTGTACGTCACCGAAGCACTAGTGCTCTTATCTGGTGTTAATGTTGATGATGATCTTGACGACTGATGCACCTGCCGCACAGTCGAACCCAGGTTTTCGTCGATACCATCTGATACTAGCAGTGCTTCTTAATCAAACATATGGAGACACTTAAGACCATCTACCATATCTGGCAACGTCACGCGTACTTTACCCTGGTACGTGCGACCCTTGATACCCAGTGATGTGCGTTTTCGGTGTCATAGACTATGGCAATTGGCAGACGTGGTAGTGTCTTCCATATTCGTACACCGACTATCAGACACACTACCGTCGGGGCCAGTGCAAATACCTTAACGTTTGAAGGTTTCCGCAACCTTCAACGATTCTTCTTAAATTGTAAGACGCATGCTCAGAGAGTTCACCTTCTTTAGCATGACTTTGCACATTGCATGTGCAGTTCAACTGCCGAAAGATACTATGATGGTGGTCAGTTTATTCAACAAACCTTGTGCCTGGTCTTCGTCTTTAATGATGAGGACTATGTCGTCTTCGTGCTCTAAGTTGACAAAGTTCTTACCAGCAAGCATCCGAATACCGGGGTTATCAAGTCCCTCCAGCGTTCGCCTCATTATATCATCGATGGCCAAGCTAAAAGATTGAAAAAATGAACTTTTTTGCCGGACACCACTTTTTGTAGGGTAGTTTTAAAGTGCTTTCCACACACTCACGCCCAGCGGTACGAGTATGTAAGGACCGAATTGTGTTCACTTCTCATACGTCGTTTTTTTAGCACGCGTGGCAAGAAGCATTGACTGATCAACATAATTGAACGTACCGTTGAGTTCAAGGTTGTGGGCCACCCGTACATCTGGTTTAACACCTGATAGAATTGGAAAATGTGGTTTTAAATCTTGTTTGATGCTCACGGGTTAGGATTTCGCGTACCGGCTTAACAGGATGAATAATCGATGACCCCAAAGTACTCGCTACAATGAGAGTCCAGCTTACACAAATGTGGTTATCAAATTCACTGCTAGTGCCCTGTTTCGAGGATGGTCACTATTATCGACTGACTGCGGTTGTGTGAAACTGACATATTTGAACTGAGCAGGTGAAAAGTTGTCGGGACCAGGGGCATAGTGGTATATGAGTTGGAATATACACTCGAACAATTCTGAGGCTGAGTCGGTTGGATATTCGCAGTCGATATTTCCTTCCAAGAGCCCAGATGGGAAGTAGCACGTAGCCAGATAAATTGTTTCCCTAAATAACCCGCACAATGGTTCCAGCGCTCTTCTCTGCTGGATATCAGAGAACCATTGTTCTTGATGTTTTCATTGACAACCGGCCCCCGAGGACTGGAACGAATCAAGTGGAACAACATGCGCACAAATTCCAGCACTTTCTGCATCCTCCATCTCGTTGAGCTTAGGATTTACCAAACTTCTGGGTCCGGACACGGTCTCACCTGACGTCGTATTATGTAGCGAATTCGTTCATTACCACAGACCGGAGGGATTCTCTTACTGATCATGCAGTAGAGCCGCCCCATGCGTTGAACAGGTTAGTTGGGATTTTACGCAGGCGGAATTTCCGGTATATCTGTCCCCGGTGATCGTTAGCATCCAATAGACAGGTGTTGGAGGAGTCGGTTCTAGTAAGCTTTCCTGATTTCCGTGTCCATGAATATCTCAATAACTGAGAGATGTGTGCTTGCTTTGTTCGAACTTAGAAAGGGCGACAATGGATAGGTGCACGACAGAAGTACACATGGACAATGACCGATCCTCTCGGTAACTGGTGACCATGTGTTTCATTTGGCTTCGAACCTGGCTTATTGATGACCACATGATCAGCTGATCTCCGCTGTTCTGCAAGTCGGTACTTCAAAGAAACATCTATTCAGCGCACAATTGCAGGATGCACTGTCGGCCGTCGGTGCGCCTTGTGACTAATCGAGGACAACCACCCAACTTGGCGTAAGCAGCGCTACAGCTACCTACCCACCATCGTCCACAACTGTATCCGAGTTGTTATCCTGTTGTAAAGAGAAGGGTACCGAGGGCCATCAAGTAAAGTATTTAGTCTCGCAGTCTGATGATGAGGTAGGTGCCGGTATACTGCCATAGAAGTTCAAATTTTTAGGGAACCTCGTGACCGTTAACCTGAAGGACCAGGAGACTGTTCGTCAGATTCCTATTCACTGAGTAGCCTGCTATGGGAAATTTTGTGACTGCCAAAGTGATCCCCCAGCATAACCCAGTGTCACTGAACTATACCAACCTCCTCACAGCGATAAGTTCTGGCCCCTTCACAGAGGGCTGTGGTCGCTAATTTGTTTTACTACCTCCCTGGGTTACACATAAACTCATTCAAAGATCAGTCATCTAGTTGGCGCGGCAGTTCATGCTACTGACCCTGATAACATGATCACATCCTATTGTTTTGTATCCTTACTGAATTTCAGTAACCGAGTTGTCGGATGACACATTGCGTAAGATGCAGTGGAGGCAGGCAAATGTCTTTTTCCTTATTAGGCCACAAATCTGCTTGTATCGTAAACGGTTTACTTGACACTATCTTGTCCAACGGTTCTTACCCGAACTCTCCTTGTGTGCTACGGCCGGCCGACCGTTGACTAACGGCTAGATCTAACACCTGAGTCGCTTTCTGTGAACACCATAGCGCGCATGGGGTCCTTTATGAACGGTGATTCTGTCGAGCCTAACAAATGATTATCTCGTTACAAAGACTCCTATTTGCTTCGCCAAATACGCACACTGTCGAATCCAGCCGAATCTCGTTTATAATTGCCCATACTGGTTCATATTGGTTCATAACGGTGCACGTGAGAGTATTAGGCGAATTTCGTCCAATCTGCTTTCAACTTGAACATAAAAATTAGGGGGTTACATCTATCTGATGGGCTGAAGTGGAAGGGCGAAAACCCATCGTGAGCTATCGAAGAGTTTTCAGAAGCCCTATGTGTAGTGTGTTACATCTGCATTTTTGTCTTGAGCAACAGTATAGATGTGGACTGTTGTTATCGGTATTCCTAAGGCCTTATTGGCAAACGGTGACCATCACGGGATATGTTTTCGCCCTTTATTTGTCCGCCAGAAATAATGCATAGTTTAAATGGGCCCACTAGCACGCCTTTTTTGCTGCACGTTGTTGCCATGGTCGGGTCGCACAGCCATTTCGGCGGCTTTTGGCGTAGGTTGTTTCATTGTATACTACTCAACGCCTGGTAGTAGTATGAAATTAACGATGATATTGATTGAATCCTGTTGAAACATCCTTCCTTCGGAGGCTCGTCCACTTAACATGTAGTTGTATGTAGTAGTCCAAATCCCCCTACTGACTCAGGTTACATGCTTGATGATGCGCATTTCTTGCTTGTTACTGTTTAATCAAGTTGAGTAACAATCACTTGTGATTTCCCTCCCAGCGTTCTTGCTGAGCGTGCAGCCATCCTCAAAGCTCGGAGAGAAAAGGCTCAGAGGTTACTTACGATTTCCAAGAATTTGGAGAAAGAGGAGGGCGAAGTTGTGCATCTGGAACGCACAGCACTTAAGGTGAGTGCCCGACGTTCCAACAACAAATGGTCTAGGTCAGTGAACAAACCAGCGACCGCTTTTTTTAATTCTCTAATTCCACTCGGGAAAGTGGTGGGTCGATATATGGCCTCGCACACTTAATTAAAGATGCGGCTTATATATGACCAGGTGTTGCCGCAGGTGCGAATACGCAAATTCTAAGCGTACACAATTTCTTCGACATTTACGTTTTGACGGGGAATTGTGGACTGATTTATATAAGTTTGTAGTTTGTCAATTTCCTGGTGAATATTAATTATATGACATGAGGAACAGACTAATCAAGTACATTTTGGAGCTAGTTCCTAGTTAGTTTCGTATGCTAAGCGAATTTTCACTGCCAGGTTGATGCGAAAAGCGACTCACCTAATTTTTGATCAGGATAGGTCCCAGCGGCTTCCCCTTGAGTGATAATTGTATGAAAAATGCGGTGTACCATTGCTAAGTATTAGAGTGTCCCTTAAGCTTAGATCGGCCATATAATTTGATACATATGCCTGGCTATCCATTAATACTCCTGACTATTTGTTACTCCAGCTGGTAATGAGTTGGCACCATCTAGCGATTCCGCTCTCATATGTAGCCAGTGCAAAACTGCCGAAGAGAGAGATCGTTCAGCTGTAGCCCCCCTGCCATGCTACCAGAAGGAAACATGAGGGCTGGGATACTGCCAGGTTGCCCAAGCCTAGACAGGAGAAATGCGGGTGCTATCAGGTCCCGATATATTTCCTGCGTATATTTCCTGTAGCAGATTGTCCTATGTGGATGCCTGGTTAGCAGAACATGAGAGATCAGTCGACTGGTCCTTTGGTTATTCCCAGGGGAACCGGTGAGATTGGCATAAACAAAGTTAAGGCTCCTAACAAAAATTTTAAAACGACCTTTGTTGTCCACATAGAGTACCCTCTTTACATAACCGACCTAAAACCCGTAGGACTTTTGTCATCATAGCAGAGGAATGCATATATTTCTAGTCCTAGAGTAGACCGATTTGCAAACGAATTTTGGCAAAATTTGTACACATCATAAAATCTCACTTGCTGGGAAGCACGAATACTTTTAGTAAATATAACAAGCATTGTCATATGATTGGGTGGTGTCAACGTGGGTTCTGCGTGTTAAAACCCCGGGTAGGTTGCAAGTAAGTTGTGTACTGACAACGTGTACGCATCCATTTCCAAAGGAGTGGGTTGGCTCAGTGGTTAAAGCGCAAACTTATTGAACGGAAGGTCCGTGGTTCGAACTCGATCTTTGCATCCTGACTTTTCTTGTCTGGGTTTGGGTAACCTGACAGTATCCCATCCGTCGTGCTTCCTTTGGGTGGCATAGCATCTAGACAACGAAAACGTGTTACAGCTGAACGATCCATTACGAAATGGGTCTTTCGTATCTCGAAAGGTCTTTGGTGGCGTAGGCTGCGCCGGCTCCATTTTCAGAATCACCGAGTTTAACGAAGTGAATGAACCGCTAATCTTATTTATAGGCAGCACAGTCGAAAAGAAGACAGATCCGCTCCATTCGCACATCAGATGCGCCTAGCAGCGCAGAAAAACATCGAGTGAAAGATCCCACTCCCACAGAGTCAGTGGTTTACTCTTCGGATTTCGCCCCGTCGGTCACCACTGGTCGCTCGGGTTCCCAGCGTCTGCCGGTAGCCGCGGCTGAGGCGATATCAAGTATTCGTGAATCCATCAGCTTATCCCAGTCCGGTCCGACTGGGAAGACAAGCATACGCAAGTCTTCTGCGAGTTCACTACTTATCGAAATTCAGCCATCCCTGATATCTGACTCTCGGTAAGTCGCCCTGTTGTCATAGTGCTTTTTCTCTTCCCACTTTAATTGTTCAGTATGGCTGGTTTTGCGTCTATTTACAAGTTGCTCGGGAGTGGGTGAATACGAGAATTTGATGGAGTTATCTGATTCTCCTGCACCACATACTGTACTATCCTCTAAGATATAGCGCTTCCAAGAAGCATATAACATCTCTGGATACCAAGATTAATGGAATTGCTAGCAATGAGGTGTCGTACAAGAAAGGTACTTACATGCAAATAATAACCTCCAAGATATTGGGGGAAATTGTCCATTGTCAGAGAAATGCACTCATTTGCATACCAATTTTGTTTTGACGGAAGATTTACCTGAAACCCAGCTGACTCGTTTGTGATTTTCCTATGACGTCGAAACGAAATAGGTATGCGGAGCAGTGTGTTTCGCTAATTTCTTGCAATTTGGGTTCAAGTAGAACATAAGGTTGACGGAAACTCGGAGACTGCACCCTTTTTATGAGCCCCAAGGAGGGCGAAACTGGTCGTGGGCTATCGAAGAGTTTTCAGCAACCTTGTGAGTGATGTATTTATCCATTGTCATTCGTGTGTCGAACCGAAGCGGGAACTGTAGTTCTTATTGCTCGGTTTCATTGTCACTGGACGATCGTTTGTTTGTGCAGTGTGGATACCTTCAGGACTGCATTTTCCTCAGCAATTGACAAACGGCTTCCGCTCACCTGCGGTAGATGTGGACCAGTAACAACCATATTCTGCCCATGCCCTTCCAAAACCCTAAAGGTTATGGGTATTCAAGAACCGGTTTTATCTCAAGACGTTGGAATAGAAGGGTTGGAAGCAATGCTCATTTGCCAACCTAAGTATGGATAGAAATATTTGGCTCATTGTCTGGACTTTAGGTCTTTCGTGAATATTCCGCCCACGCTTTTGCCTGCAGTAAAGCCTATGCATTGGTTGATCAATGCCACAAACTACCCCACCAGTGCAATGCCAAAACAGCGACCATAGCTAGGCTATTAAGATGACAGTTGCGTCAACAGTAAAGGTCGGTTCGACATAGCTACCAAAGGCAGAGGACAAGTTTAGGAAGTACTCATGAGGAGGAAGTGCAGTGTGCAGCAGTATTGTGTGCGTCTCTTAAAATGAATGTCATTCAGTGTTCGTTGCACTAAGTGTGGGGAAGGTCAAATAGTGAGATGTTTAAGAAATAGGTTAGATCGTAATTGTGACATGCGGACGCATACAAGTCAATTACATCCAAGAGAACCCCAATATTTGTCTTATAGAGCAGCTCAAGTGTACTTTCTCCTTGTACCGTTTGGTTACCACTATGGTTCTGTAGGAAGGGGAAATTTCGCCTGCTAAGTTAAAAGCTTGTGCGAGTGGTTACAAGAAGCGAATCGCTTTAGGCATTTCCAAGGTGTTCTATTCTGTAGGAAAGCAATTTAGTCTGTGTGATGTGATGATAATTCAGAATTAGGTTCATCACGGAACAGCTGGACCTTCTCGAAGTTCACTGGTAAATGGCTACCGACCTTCCTGTCTATATTAGTTTTACGTTCAGTCACATATCGTTTTATGTGATGAAATATGGAAGTGGGAGAGGGTGATAATGCGGCTTTAGTGAAGGTTGAGAGGACTAGCAGCTTGCATGCGAAACCAGCCCTTTTGCTACACACTGGGGACCGGTCTTAGTACGTGTTCAACAGCTATTCATTACTGATATGGACTGAACAACTAACCACCACGGAAGACCTTATCAGCCCCTAGGTGTTTGCACCATACAGGCCAGGCTTATTGGTAAGTGGGTGGGTTCAAGGTTTGCTCATGATATTCCTACTTCTTGCTTTAGTGCGTCATCAAGAAGAATGAACTGATACTCCCAGCATTGTGAAGAGAGCTTTTCTTATTAAGGAAACATGCCAATTTCACTTTTTCCATTATTTTCAGCCCTCGGGACCGAAGTCAGTCTGCCTCCCAGGTCAGGAGTGTTTCGACGACGGCCAGTGCGGCAGTCGGTGGAATTCCGAGGACAAGTCCAATAAGCAAAATGCAGACGGGTGTTCTCACTGGCAAGAGTGTAGTAACATCAATTTCCTCGCGACCAACTTGTGGACAATCTCCCACAGTGGAAAATGAACATGAACCTGCCGGTGAACAACACCGATTACCAGGTACCCTGTCGTTCTTTTTTCTTCTGCTCGCTAAAACGCTGGAATTTGCTATTGCTAGTCCTGCACCATCCGCCAAATTTATAATTTTTTTCACTTCTCTAGTTACAGTCATTCCCTCTACACTTCCAAAGGACGTCACTCCTGGAATAGCCTCATCTTCCTCCGAACGAACCACCTCACCGACGCCACACCGTCGTCGTCGCTCCCCATTGCCCCTACCTGGCCGCCGCAGTCGCCATTCGTCCTCCAATCTCAGCGGCCCATTGTCTGCCGAGTCAATGGATGATGAATTAGGCGTATGCTCAGATGCAGCAGACCTAGATGAACAGTCCTCGCAGGTTGATATAAGTGAGATGGAGTCTCGGATACATGCTTTGCATACCAACCTGCTGAAGCAGGAACGGTTGCTCTCCCGGATAAACAAGTTGAGTAAGCGTGGATCGAAAGATCGACTCAGCCGATTCCAAGCTACTCTTGTCCAGCACAAGCAGGTAGGTCTTACGGCCACCGAATTTGTCCTTTCACACAGCACGTACTTCGATTTCCATTATTATGTGACTCACAACATCGTGGTGTCATTTGGCTCATCCACTAATGCCATGATATAGTACTCTCAATTGATGTCACAGCACGTTTTAATTACGCTCGTTGGCTTACCAGGGGACATTCAATTAGTCAAAGTAACTTCATGATTTTCCATAAAATGGGTTCAATGGAGGTGAGCCGTTAGTTGGTAGAAGCCCCGAATGAGAACATGGATGTAGATGTTTTGATTTGGGTAATATCTTGCGCCTAGATATGAGAGGAAATTGAGAAAACGCTGAAAATGGGGAGTTCTAAGGGGAACGATAAACACCTTTCGGGATAATCGTTGGTAAAGGGAACTGGACAAAAGGCCGGGTAAACCGGTAGAGTTTACGGTTTAAGGAATTGGACGCAGTAGGTTGGTCGAAAATCTACTCTGCTTCCAATGGGATGGGCTCTAAGAAGTCCTAGCTGGCAGTGTGTCAGATTCAGTTAGATAAATTGAAATTTTTACCAATCCTTCGAGGGGTTCAATTCTGGTGGACCCCTTCAGGTGCTGAATGTGTATTTGCCAACTTGGGGCAAGTAATTATTTCGTATAGTTGTGGCCAAAGAAAAGCATACAGTCTGTTTTTCTCCTCTACAATACCATAGGCAGACATGGTTGGAGCATTGGGAGGATGGTTGTATCCTCGGTTATAAGATAACCTGGCGGGAAATTTCCGTTCGAAAACTAACAGATCTTTCAGGCAGTATCTGGCAAAATTGGGCTGCTAACTCTTGATTGTGCGGAAGACCGTCACCGGAATATATTACGAAAACGTGAGTAGGCTTCAGAGAATAAAGCGAGTGACAAAAGTGTACAAGGTATACATATGATATACACACCAGAGGGGAACAGTAGCCTACTACGTAGTCCTGTGGATTAAAAGTTGAGAAGACATTCACGTGGGTTGGAATAGAGGGCTAGTTAAGAGAGTCGGCCTCACAAACGGTCTGCAAAATGTATGTGAAGAAAAAGAAACGGAACCTACCATGATCATCTGGGTACCAATACACAATTATCCCCTCCAGAGACGTTGAGCCTGGGGGAAAAGAGCGGCTATTCAGGTGTATCAGAGTTCAAGACGGAATGCTGTGGGACACATAGGGAATGGTAAGATGAGACGAAAAAGGACTACTGGAGGTATGTGAGGTCACCAGTTACTTCGAAACTGTTCAGTGTGTTGGCCGGCTATAGTTTGTGGACTGATTTACTGTTATTTGAATCTTCATGTATGTTTGTTGACTGAACGACAGATGTCTCAAATGGGAGACGATACCTGGTAATCGGTGAGCCGTTAGATTTCGAGTAGACATCGAGGCCTTCTATTTTGGTCTTTTTGTTTCGAGTTCTTTTGAGATATTTGAATTTTCATAGATTCCCCCTTTCTCCGCCAAGAAAAACATTTGAACTGAGACAACTCCATCGAAGGGACATTCTTGGAAGCGCGGTATTTTCCTCCATTAAAAACCTCTGAAAGAACGGCTTCTGTATGAGCGAGGAAGAATGGAGTCGCAGTTGAAGTATTAATCTTTGTATCATATTAGTGGCCGGAACCGGCACGACCGGAAACGACACTAGGGTCTGTCTCCACATGAGCTTGTGTTTGCTTTCTAATCATTTGTTCACACTTCTCTTCCATACCTGACTACTTCAGTAGATAATCATGATTCAGTTACGCTGATTGTAACATTTCCTTCGTTTCTTATCACAGAGGTTAGCCTGAGTTGAAATTTTTCCCACTCCGATAGGTAGTGCCAAAAGTCCCCTTCATTGTCATTTTCCACCTCATTCTTTGTTATTTTAGTTATGCACCGAGATCATTCATAATATAAAAACACAGTTGGACGCATGTCAGTCATCTATGCATCTGGAGAAATCAGCAATGTCCGCGCGAGATGCTTCCCAGATTTCTGCAAAGAGTCCGTGGTCCGCGCAACTGGATTTATCTAAATTGGACGGGTCGACGAAGGCAGTCCCGTTACCTTCGGTTGAATCTAACGAGCCGGACTCACCAGTTGACCTTGTAGCTTCGCTAGCCGATGAGGCCGCGTTTGCCACAGATACAGAGGGCGATCTACAGAAACTGGAGTTTGATGATAAATCGGAACCATTGGGCGTTCGGACAACTGCTGATGACCGGAACCATGCGGTTTCTTCCGATCAGGATGAGGAGACGGCCTCTGCTTCTGAGGCCACACTGGTATCCAATGGCGAGAACGTCCCACTTCATGACGATACACCTCATGTGGAACCGCGATCATCTCTTCAGGAACTTGGCACGGAAAACATACCAAGCAGCTTGACAGCTGATGTGAAGCCGGCAAGAGAGGCGCTCGAAATTTCTGACAGATTAACAGATGTGGACTTCGAAAACGAAACGTTCTCACGAACTATTACTGTTTCGGATGATAAGTCCGCTCCACTTCGCACACCTTTGTCCGAAAACGTCGCGCAACCTTCGGCAGACGAATCGTTAACGCATCTGGAGCCTCCCTTGCGCAGTGCTGCAGTCACTGTCAGTTCGCACGTCTACAATACACTACTGAATGTGACAGAACCACTGTCCACATCCGACGCCTTATTGGTGGACAAAAATCAGTACGTCATTTTTCTTCAGATTTATGCAAAATAACGTTTAAAAGAACAATAATGGACTTTCATGTATTCTCCCAATTTCGGGTCAATTTGTCGTTCCTAAATAGGGCGGCTGGTTTGCAGCTTCCAACCTTTTTAATGAACTTTTGGGCCAAGTGATCTGTTTGATAAGAGCCACCACCGCCTTGCTTCCTTTTCATTGTTCGGTATGTTGTGCAGCTCAAAACACGGAGCTCTCGTGGTTTCTCCTCTTATCTGTGCTACACTCCGAATTCTTCCACATTTTCAATCTAAGCTCCCACAGTTGTCACCTTCGACGACTGCGCGTGTCCATTTATAAGTGGCCTAGTTTCAACTGATACCATGCACTCATCTTCGCAGCGGAGAATCTCCCAGCTTTGTTCCACTTCGGTGGTTTGTAGTGCTCACCGGATCGTTCTTTTCCACTGGCGTCTAAACCACAAGTTCATCGCCTGAGGTCTCAATGCCTTGTTATTGAGTACACTTTAGTTGTGGAGTGTTAAACTAGACGATTTAGGGGTATTCTCTTGCCACGGATATTTTGCTATTCGTTTCTTCTTTTGTATTTCCACCATCCGCTGTGCAGCTTCCCCCAACTTGTAGAAGGGCTTGGACTATTTCAAGAAAAGTATCGTAGTGGCTGTCCCGGGAACGAAATAGTTATGACGTCTTTAAAGCAACGCATTTAGGTGACATTTAATCGCAGCGGATGTGTTACAAGATGAATACCCTCAAAGCATTATCAGCATACCTAATGTGACAAATGATCACTGTAAATACTTTTGGGAGTAGCCCTGCATTCCAAACGGTTAAGTGCAAGACAGCAACCAGGGCCAAGTAGCGTAAGAGCAGTCTGGTTATATTGACTCTGCCACTGACGTCAGCTGAAGCGTCAGTTTTAACAGGAGCCTTTTGTGCTGCTCTCATTCCAATGATTATCTCAGATTGATTTCCTCATTCCCGTGTCGTTTTTTGCTGCTTGTACGTATGCCGCACCGCTTTTTGTGTAATCAGATATTTCATCGGCTACACTGGTGATTGACTGCACGGACTAGGCTGCACGAACGCACTTACTCACTCGTGTGTGCTTCGGCCACTGACGCGTCTGTCATGCATCGCAGTGACCGCTCGCCTTCTCCTCATCCATACACTGTATGTACAAACAGATGAGCGAGTTTGCATAACCGACTCTGGCTACGATGGCATGTTTGGTATTCTACTCAAGTGAGCCGAGGCCCCGACGTTTTGTGCGTGCACGCACACAGACGCTTAGAATTTCGCTTCTTAGTGTGTATGCACGCGTGTTTTCTGCTGTCTCTGTGAGCACATTCGTCTCTTGGAGTCTTTCGTTGGTCAGCTGACTGTGTGAGCTATAATGTAAATTAGGAGTAGGGCTGTGCACGGATTGTGTGTCTCTGGGTCGCCGTCAATTCGTTGCACGTTTTGACAGTTTATTCCAGTCCAACGGTAAGTGTTCGCTTATGTTGGTCAGCGGTCAGTGGTTGGTATGGACCACTTAGTAGCCGTGGCTGTACTCGGCCAGATGTAAGTGTTACTAATACTTTTCCCAATCTGCTTGCTTTGGTGTGATGAATAGTTCATTGCCACTGTCGAACCTACTTTTTGTACATCGTGCCGTCACACCACACGACCACTTTGCAGCTATAAGAAAACTGATATTGATATCTGTCGATAAAGTCGTTGCGTAAAATAGGTTGATAAGATGGCTTGGAGATATCAAATCCTTTTTATAGCTGGGGAAGTTCGCTTGGCTTTGTATTTTCCGATGGTATTATCTATTTCGCTCTTCCTGTGCTTATTAGCTGTGTTTGCTGCAACGTCTCTATTATCTTTAAGATCCTATCTTTTCTCCTGGTCATATTCTGTGGCCGGTCTTATCCTGATATGTTCGATTAGGTTTGACAATGTTGCTTCTACCTATGAGTCCGGATACAAAGCCAGCAGCATACTTACATACGAGAATACTTTGAAAGCATCGAGCTGTGGAGTTTCGTCTGACAATGTTTAGGTTCCTTGAATCTGAGCGTCATCCATGCGTCCCGTATAGGTCGATCCCATTAGATTTTGTATTTAAAGAACGACGCGCCTGATTTTGCTTTTAATGGTAATACGTGTTTAATGCGCTTGGTTCCGATGAGTTTCTTCGGGTTTCACAACTCACATGGCATTTCGCGATGTGCGCTGAAGGCACACACATATTTGAATAGCGTTTGACTATCTATCCAACTCTAATGTTTGTCGTAGATTATCATTGTTTCTTTGTTTTAATTCATTCCTCCGTTTATTCAAGGTTATAGTGTATTGAGGTAGTAGTATGTACTGTTCTTTGTGTCGATGGCCGGTCTCATATCCGAATCCAGTTTTCCGACTCCCGTGTCTTAGCCACTATACATTTTGCTGATTGTAAAAGAGTTATTTCCTCACACATTTCATAGACGAAGTTCCCTGCTGATTGATTTTGAATATTCATTGAATTACCAAGAGGAAGAATTACGATGTTTTGTTGATTGTGATGGGATATTTCGGAACGGACTTTTCTGGTCAGCCGGTGCTGGGAAGCCTTGTAGAGCTGTTCCGTCCTGTTCGCTGATCATTCCACGAATCTCTTGAAATTCACACCCCAAGCCTTTCAATAGGAGTTGAAAAATTCACCATTTCAATGTGGTTGTGGTATTACTCACACGCAGACAGGTTATCGCGCCAATATCCTCCAATCATGCTGTCAGCCACACGTAAATTCATGTCAGGTGGCTTCTCAAGTAACACCAATTGAACTTCTGCTTGCTTAGGCAGACTTCTGATATGTATTATGTAGCGAGGAGGTTTTGAAACTATCTGGAAGCTTGTCGACCTAACTAGAAATTCACGAACTGCACACCGTCAGTGATTTTGCACGAGTGTGAAACAGATGCACGGTGTCTCAGGGCTTTTTAACGTCGATTGGCTTTACTCATAGGTTGCAGCGTCCTAAGAACGATAATGGCAGTTGGCCAGAGTGCTCATTCCATCTCAAATATAAACTTTGAGTTGCACTGCACTCGATGAGCTACCGGGCTAGTTGGATTCCTACTACATTTTGGCGATGAGCCTCATCTCAGATAAGCCCTTGTCGGCGTGGGTTGGTCTTAACCACTGGTGTGTAAGCAGTGTGGAGTTTTGGGATTTCTGAGCGGAACAGAACAGACCATTCGGCCTGCTGTGTCATTTGCTACAACCGGTCGGAAATTGTTGTCACTGCAATAACTGATAGTGTAGATATAAGGAGTTCGGCAGCAGACTTTTGTGGTAACAACCAGCACACCGTTATGTGCAATGATAGCAGCGAAGTGCAAGGCAGCGGTTAGACAATAAATAGTAAGAGATGAAGGATTCCCGGTTCTAAGGCAACTAAGCTTTACCTTATGTAACCCGTCAGTGTATATTTGCTGCGCTATTTACTACTGCATCGGTCTACCATGTTTATTCGCAGCGTTTTCGCTGGCGATCCTAATGTACGGTTGCCTTATTTTCTCTGATGTTTACATAGACCTCTGAAAGTAGTTTGGAATTAGCAGTACTCACACTGTTACCAGCTGGTTGGTACCAATGGGCAATAAGGCAAGTACAGCTTCCCTCCCAGAGTCACGCAACCAATCAGTTGCACCTTCCGGGCCTGAGTGAGTGGCAAATTCTTCCTAACCCCTGTGTTAGTCACTCTGGGTGGGTTGCACAACAAGCTGCTTATGAGATCTATTTCCTCGGTGAATTTTTGTGCACTAACCGCAGGTCATTCGCTCTTCGTCGCTGGTGGTGCCACCCTTGGTTTACAAACGACATGTTTGGTTCCCTTCTCTGTGCTGGTGTTCGAATGAGGTTCTCGCAATCTAGTCTGTTTATTTACCTTGAATCAGCCAGTCGCCAAGCCTGGCAGACCTTTACAGACCTGTTTCATTTTGGGCAAGAAATTTCAACAGGGCCATACATTGCCTTGTTGTCTACAAAACAACTGGGGAGATTGTGTTTGCTGTCTCTCGTTCCTATTCGGCAGAAAAACAGTACAGAACACTTTACATTACGGGCTAACTCTTGGTCATCGCGTCCATGTTACCAGACAGGTCTTTCCGGTTTAAGTATACCAACATTAGCTCACGGGCAAGTTGAACCGCATTAGCTCCGTCAGTTATTATGGCCCATGCCTAACCCAGGTTTCAATTATGGGGGGCGAGACGACTCAAGTGGTTAGGGCACCAATTTACTGACCGGAAGACTCGTGGTTCGAATCCGACCTCTGCATCCCGACTTCTCATGTCTAGGCTTTGGCAACGAGGCAGTCTCCCAACCCTCGTACTTCCTTCGGGTGCCGTGGCAGCTGGGCACCGGAAGGATGTTACAGGTGAACGAGATGATTGACGGTGCTCGTCTCTTCAATGTAGACCAGATCCAAATCCTTTACTGTACGTACTTATTAGCAAAAATCCTTTCAATGGATAAGTTGTCGAATTCTTGCGAATGCGATCCACACGTCCTATTTTTAGCTACTCGTCAGTTTGCTTGTGAATGTACCTGAATCCCATGAAAGGAACTCAGTAATAACCGATTTTTTCGACCCTCGTCATGCTTACCACACGTCATACGTTCCGCTCTGCTTACTGTTCTTTGATGTGCCATTAATTCGCCTATCCGAACGATGCTGCCGATCTTGAAGTATATATCAGACGGTTCGCTAGTGCATCGAGAAGTTGGCTACTGGTTGTTGCCTATACTCTGATACTGCGTACTCAAAAAAAATTCGTTCCATTCAACAGGACTAAAATGCCGGTCGCCCACCAGCTGATCGCATCTCCATTAAACACTAAATGTGCGTGCATACCACCGACCAACACTTGTTGCCTAGCCCCACTTCAAAGGCGCCTTTGATTCTATGGGTGAAATAATTAGACGAAAAGTGTTTCCCTTGATGGTTGTGAAGATACTTTTCCCGGTATTTATTCGAATGCCTCTAGTTCTGTCAGGGCTCACTACGAACTGTTCAAAAGACTGCCAGCAACTGCTGAGGTTCGCCAGGGTCCCTCTCCATTTCCCTGTTTGTTTAACTTTATCGTTGCCCCAGCAGTGGAGTGCACACTCTAGATGGTACCCGGAATAGCCAACCGGATTTAGACTACCGACTACATTGTTTTGTTTGTGGATTATCGATCCTCCTTACCTGGCCTTTGTTCCGACTCTCATTTTGTACGGTCAAAGTACGAAGTTTTGCTCTAGGATTTTCAACCCCATACGTTTGCAGCTGTGCGATGGCAGACTCTGGCTTGTTGGTCGGTAATAAAGTGTCATTACGAGCATTAGCAGAGCGTGAACGATTTCGTGCTGGATTGGGTCAACGGTGGGGTCAGAAACGAATCGCATTGGATCTAAGATACGCTATATGCAGGGTAGTTGTAAATGATCATTCTTCTTCAACCTTTCGTTTCTCTGAATCTTATTTCGTATGGATTGAGACTGTGATGAATTTTCACAACACTTGCTTTAATAGTCACAATTAGACTGGAGAAGCTCTCATTTCTCGGCGGGAAGTTTTGGTATAAAATCTGTGTCTGAACGACCTGTTTTGCAGCTTTCAGGCACATTCAGTCACATTTCCTCTACCATCGGTGAGGAATATGTACTAAATTCACTTTCACGTCAACAAATATATTTAATGCCTTATCTGTATTCCAGGTCGTCCTGGATGTTATTTTCGCTTGAGGTGACCTCGTCGAACATGCTATGAACCTTTTCATGTTATTGCTGTAAGCGTGTAAGCTACACTCACTTTTGGACAAGTTTTGATTTTATATTCCCTCGCTGAGGCTTCCGAGTCGAATTAAGGAGGTACGCCGGTTCTTGCCCGTATTTTTTTGGTTTGGAATTTGTTTCCCTCGGACTAGTGGCGCCATTCGTGCTCATGTTTCATGCATTTCTCTTCATTGTCTTTTGCTTTGATTTCACTTAAGCCTCACCGACTGTTTTCCTCATTGACTCCCGTGAATTTATTGGAAACTTTCCCACATAGCAACAACATGGCACTCAGCGTGATTTGATCTATGTATTGGACAAGGCCTTCAGATTGCAGGATGGGTCCCACAAATACGAGTATTGGGTTCCGAGCTTCCTTGAAAGACTTTGCAGGTCATTTGCAGTGATAATTCTACATGTGCGTGCGTAGCTGAATGGTCTTCAGGTTTTAGCTGAACCTGTCCAGTCTGTTCCAATCGGTCATTTATCACTTAGGACTCCCTGAACTGGGCTCGAGATGGCTCAATGGTTAAAGCTCGAATTTACTGACCGGAAGGTCCGTGATTCGAACTCAATTTCTACATCTCGGCTGCTGCTGTCTAAGCTTGGACAACAGGCAGTATCTCAGCCCTCGCGCTTCCTTCGGGTGACAGGGGAGCTAGGCAACAAAAGGGTGTTACAACTGAAAGATTCTTTTTCTCCAACTGATCTGCCAACACTAACTCGTATTAGCTGCCGGGCTAATTTTCTTACATGAGCGGATGAATTAATGTGTGTTTGAGCTGTCCTTTCAATTCCAGACCCATTTTTTTCGTTTCCATCTTCGAGTGATCACACTTCTTTTCCTCCTATTGTCATCGCTGTGCGTTCAGTGCATAAATCCCCTTATATGCAATCGGATTACTTCCCTCCTTGATCCGTTGGTCTGATGCGTATGCTCATTATGGTAAAATTTTATGTATTTTTCAGGCGTTCATTAATACAACATTCTATTCATTTTGTGCAGTTTCGCCTACGAAGCTTTCCTTAGACATCCTGTCAGAAAAATGAGATAGGATTAATCCAGGCGTTTATAATGCTATGCTTATGGAAGCGATATCAGTATCGAGATATCGCAATCAAGAGAGGTATGTATTCCACCTTGCATGTTTCACTGGCCAGTCAAGTCTCAATATCTCTACGGCTTGTTTTCACACACGAATAATAGGTCTGTGCAACCGGGCATTTGGAGTGACGCGAGCTTCGACTAATGAGTTGCATCAGAGTACACCACCTGGAAGTATTCAGTAGCATAATCAAACACGGTGAAATGCGTGTTGAGTGCGTTTCCTAGTTCTACATGTTGACTTAGCCTGCTACTTTTCATGGATCCCATCGAAAAGTTACCTTGGCATCTAACCTAGTTTGATATCTTAAACGAATTACTAGACAAATACATGTATTTGGTGCTGATTCCTTGATCTCGGATGCTTAGTTGTGGCGTTCCCTTTGCCTTTTCCTGATGAGTCGAACATGCTGATAAATATTACCTGTTTGACGGTGTGCGACTCAGTGAACCTGTTGAATGTCGGTGATGGTCTGTTTGAAAGCAATCAACGGAACGTTCCCACTTGGTCGTCCCATTTGGGCTCACGATTTTGGAGAACGCTGACCAAAGTAACAATTACGTTTAACCATGTCCATCCTATCATATTCCTTAAAGCACTTTTTATTAATTAGTGATTCCGGGACCGTGACTTTCAGTTACTCCTCACGAAATTGAGTTCCTTCAAGAAATCGATTTATGCGTCCTGGTGCTTCACATGTCGTAAAGCCCTCTGCACCATGTAATTTTTCTTTTTTTCAGTCATCGATCAACGACTGTCTAGCAGCTATAACCAACATGTATTTGTCCACAGTTTAGAGCTAGGACTCTGAATCCAAATTGAATAACTAAGGCCTCAAATCCGTCTCTTCTTGGTGCCTACTTTTACCCCCTTGTGTTGTTTGCATGGGTATTGCAACTTACATACCTTTTCTCCGTTCCAATCTGCTATTGCATCGCGGTTCAGTTCCCATCCTCAGCTTTCACCCACCCTTTGGATCCTTAAAATCTAAACAAAATAACAAAACAGCAATTAATAAGGTTCGTCCTCCGGACGTGTTCAGTGGTACAAGCTTACCCTTACTTTCCTTTTACACTTTTGTTAGAGTGGACATACCTTGCAAACCTCTCACGCGATCCCCTAGCGTGAAGGTTGGCGCGGTTAGTGCCATGTGTCGTGGTAATGGCATGGTTGAACAGTCGTTGGAGTCATCGACGGAGACCAGTGGTGCAGCGACCGATCACCTCGCACCAACCACGAAGACCTCCACACTACTGGTCGACAAAGTGACCGACGAGTTGTTTGCTAGAATTCTGTCGGATAGTATGGATTCGACAATCGGTTTATCGAAAGCCAGAGCAATGGTGAGTTCATGTGATTACCACAAGGTTTCTGTTCACCCAGTTACAACGATATATCGCTTCCTTCGTCTTTATTCTATCGCCGTCACAAACCTCAATGGGTCTCGCATGTTGGTGCTTCTTTCTAGTGGGCGGCTCTCCTTAGGTCGGGAATCTCTGCTTTGAGGAACGCCCATGCCATATTGCGGATGATCCGTACAGCACACACTTTTCTGAGTCAACGCTTTTCGACCGGTCGCGTCGTAGTCTCTGTAGAGTAGGTTTTCTGCGTTTTAGTATTGGAACATAATTGTAGAACAAAAAACGTGGGGAGCAAAGCTCGGTTTCTGTGACTAGCATCACCTGAAAACATCACGAACTTACATAAGGACACAGCATTCAGGTGTGTTCTATGTCACATACACAGTCCCCTGTAAAAATGCAACCCTGAGGTAGTCGGACGACAGATGATTTACTGACCGTGGCCTTCCAGTGCGGCAATTCGGACCACTGTCGGAATCACTTGACCCCCCAATTAATTTATACAACCTTCCAATGATCGTTTGCCCTCTGCTTGTGCTCGTTACAGAGCACACTGTTCATAAGGCTGTTGGGCGCTGCGACAAGTCACTGCCGGCTTCGTTCTTGGGGCCCATCAGGCAGGAGCAGTTTCCGAGTTTCCCGCGACCCTACATTTTCCTTGAACATCAAGTTGCTCATAATTGAGTCTTGAAGAAATTTCCGCAGCCTTATGTTTGCTTTGACAGGAAAATATGCTTCTGTTTATCGAATATCGTACTAACTACAACACGAAACAAACTTTTCGCAGCACATTCCGTTGTAGAATATGGTAGACGCGAGATTCAGTCGGGATTCATTTGAGTCTCCCACTGAAAGCAAATTAGCTTGCAAATGAGTTTATTATTCCAATTACACTTTTAAGTGCATTCCTAACATGTAGCGTTGTAGAAACCAGTTCGTCCATTCTAAATAACGTTTCAAATACGATAATGCCGAACGTTTCTGTGAGATTACGTTCAGCGGTCTATAAAAATGACATGGTTTCACGAGCGTTTAAATACTGTACCGAATACCCTGAATATAGCCCCGGTCGTACTCAGCATAGTACATCAAAGTTAAGAAGAAATAAATGTGTGACATGAAAGCAAGATAAAGAATCTCACAAACACTTAGGTACTTGTTATCCCGACCTGTTTTCCCTGACGTGCTGTCATTCACCTGTAGCACCCTTTCGGCGCCTAGCTGCCATGCCACCGGAAGGAAGCACAAAGCTTAGGTTGCCCAAGCCTAGATAGGGGAAGTTGAGAGTCAGAGGTCGGGTTCGAATCACGAACCTGACATGTTGTGTGACATGTCCTATGCCTACCTCTCAAACGTCGTCTCCAAATCGAACCGTTTAGGAAGCTCGACGCATCTATTCATCTGTGGGCTTCACAACTCCACCACATGTGTTTAAGAAGGTGAACCTCATCTCGCTAGGTCACTTACTAGAACACTTTCCATGTATTTACTGTTCACTGCTTGTATTTAGCTTGAAGCACCAAGTTAGCAAGCGATGGACAAAAATCAAAGTCAAACCCCCGCGGTTTGGTTAACTTCCTGGTATTCCTGAGTGATATTTCTTTGCTTCTTCCATGGGTGTCTATGAATGACATGGTTCGGTATTGCATTTAGTGTAATATCTATGGCAGTATATCCGATATGCATAGGAATACTGTACTGTAGTCACTATTGGTTGACCAATTTCTTTTGGTAAGTTGAGGAATGTAAAGTTTATGTGGAACACTGAGTTGACTTCAAATCTGACTTTACTTTCCCCAACTCTTTTGCTTCAGTCAAAACAATGTGTCGAAGTCACGAATAAGGATTCGTTGCAGAATCAAGCAGCTGACAAATTTGCAGATGAAGCGGAACCGGTGGCCTCCGTAGTTGCCCCCGAGGATGTCGATGACTCGTGGGACAACGAATGTTCCAGTGGGTCTAATGAGGGAGACGACTACTCAACCACGGTTTCACCAGCACGGTTGTTCACCGAAGAAAATCTCCGAGGCTTGGTAGCCGATATCCCATCTCGGACCAGCCCACTCATTTCAGAGGCAGTCAGCTTCTTGTGGAATGCCAGGCTGAACGCCTCTGATGGGAGTCGAGAATCTGCATTGCTGGCTGCGATGTCCGATTTACCCGAAATATTCCAATCTCATTGGACGGATCCTTGGGGTATGTCAACTTTGGATTTGGTTTGTATGGTAACAAAGTCTTCTTATTTCTAAATCCTTTCCCCAGTGTTTGGTGATGCATATCAGGTCGTCGGAGTGAAACCTCACTAACTTTTCTTGTTCTGCAAACCAATTTGTATGGTATTTTCAGTTCGGTACCTTGGTGTATACAGTCTGCCTGCACTTAATTTCATGGAAGTCATAAGTTGTGCATACATAAACGAGTAATTTCTGTGCTTCACATGTGATGTAATAGGGAATCGAAGGTATTCAGCGCTAGACGTTAGTCACCATCTGTTATGCATACACTTTTCAGGTCCCATGCTTCTCACGTGGTTTATAGATGCAGTTCTTACGCAAACCACTCACCTGGATTGCATCGTACTTCGGAAACAATGCTTGGTTTGCTGAATCGGGGGATATTTATCGATAAGTCTGGTTTAGGGTTTCAGATTCATTAGTTTCGCACCCTGCTGACCACCCCTTGAGCTGCATCTTACTGCGTTATAAGGTTAGTTAATTCCGAGTGACGTTACTTTATTGATAGTTTTCTGGTGTTTCCATCCGAACATGGTGATGGTAAAATAGGACCAAACATGTAACATACGTCGCCGACGCCATTCCTGACTTTTGTGGTCTATTATCCCAATCACACACGCTCTTTAACCCCCAAAGAAGATATTGGGAGCAATGTTAACCATGTCTACCCGTTTATGTTCAACCCTTGAGATTCTCTTCAGTTTGCAGAATCCAGAGTAGAGTCGCATCATATTTCACAGTCTTTGTCACTGCCGCAACCAGTCGGAATTTTCCTCCCTCATCCCTCAAAAAACAACCAGCGATGAAATCAGCTTCTATTTTCATCGATGTCTTGATGACAGCCTCACGCACATTTACTCAGTTAGGATGCGGCGCGCTCCGTCCGGGGTTGTGGCCTCATCTTAGGTAAAGTAAACTCACTGAGTTTGTACGACTCAGTGGGGTATCCTATTCCAGATTGGCATCTCACTCGCATGATGAACAGCCAATTGCACCCAAGTGCATCCATATCCGTTTATCTTTCAGATTTAAATCCCGAACTACATGTGTTGCCGAATCTTCGCTTCGTCAATCGTAGCCTTTTGTTCGACTTGGCAGCCGAATTTATACAACAGATTTACTCCGGCGAAGATGCAGAATACGAGGCCAGAGTTCATCAAAATGCACCAAAACCTCGTATTACCAGTGCGCAGTTTCGTCTTTGGAAAGGCTCGACGAGGTATGTGTGTTAATAATGCTCGCTGCGTTCTCTCTAGGCTGCTAAAAACACGGCACTTCGTACTTTTAACGTCCCTTACCTGTTGCTGGTGTCCTCCCATCTCTCGTTTTATCCTTAGCATTTACTTTCGGCGGCTTATATCTTATTACGTACTTTGTCGTCTTCACACAGTATAGTGCTCATCCATCGTGATCCCATAAACCTCTTACACCCTCTAGCGACTTTGAGATAGTTAAACAAAGAAGCTTAGCAGTTTTGTGGTATCAACTATGCTGGACGTTTTTTGACTAAGTATACTACTCTTAAGGTCGCTCAAAACCCCGTTTTCTCTCTGCTGGTTTCACCCTTCTCGAGGCTCTCGAGTAAGCCTAGTCCCCGAGTTCCCGTCAACCTTGTTCCAGATGAACAACAAAATGGCACGTAATTGGCTGTCGGAGACCTTTCAGAAACGTTAGGAATAATGTGTTTGAGAATAGCGTTCCGTCAATAAAACATACTGCAATATCTCCATTATGCTAATAACTGAAAGGTGAGGCGGTCTTCGTGCAGCACGTTTAGTTGAAGAATATGATACAAGAGAGATTAATCTAGGATCTAGTCAAGTCTTTGCCAACACCCACTAAATTTACAGTTGAGTGTATTTTTCAGGTACAGTGGATACTGTTCGACCACTCTGCCTGTCAGTTGTTGAGTCGAAGGCGTCGGTCGAACTTAGAAGAAGCAAGCCTCATTTTCTGTACTCTGTGCTGAGACTACCGCAGTAATCGTCTAGAGTGGAACGTAACTTTTCAAGACTAGCGATTTCATTCCCGCCACTCGCCAGCTTTCAGATGCTCCCCTAGGACAGGGTTCTCGAGTAAACAGGTCTTCGAGTACTTTGCTAACAAAGTATTCGCACTCTTGAATAATACACGTTACAGAAAGTATGTGCTAACTGCTATTCGAGTTTTAATCTCAAGCGGTAGCCTGCATCTCAGACTCTTGCAATCTTCCGGTGCAGTTCAAATAATTGCTGTGTTCAGCGGTTCCATTACTAAACGATAGAGCCTGTCAAGGTCGATGTGAGATGAACGGAACTTTAATGCGATATAACTGCTTCAAAGCAATTTGGGTTCAAACATCTCTTGATTCTATGCCGTGTTTCAGCACGGATCATATTCGTCTGCTTGCGTTAAGCGCTTTAGCCCCATCTTTTTCCCTCCGAATCTATTCTGGGGAAAGAGGACAACATATTTCAGGTCAAAGTTTAGCGTATCCCGCCCTTGTTTCTAATCTGTTGTCTTGATGGCAGTAGTTTGCTGCAACTGAACTTAATGGTCGCAACTGATAAGTATTACAATAGCATATGCGACTGGTTACCCTTGTTTAATTTTGAGAGGACCGCGTCTATCGCCTTAGCTTGGTGTCAAATCCATTTTGGCTGTCACCATCATTTAGGAGTTTGGTAGGGGTCGTATTTTGACATCAAAGGTGCGACTGAGTTTATTTTACCCGTTTTTCGCCTTGCATGTGGTTCGATCTTAGTAGATGGATCATGTCAACTGCAAACACCCCAGTGGCTTACTGCCACATTTGACACAGAATTGACCTATTTTCCGATCAGCTGTTTCCTTTTGAGGATACACCGGGCGCACAAATTATTCCTTCAAATATTGGCCACCTGATGTTTCTTTGTGGAGATGGAGTACACCTATCTTATCTGGAGTTTGAGTTTTCAACCTCTCAACTGTCCTCTGCCGTCATATTACAGCTCTGGAATATCCAACGTGTCCGATGGTGCATTAGTCTTATCGTTTATACTTTACATTACCACCAGATGACCGATTGTATGGAGTGGTGAGAGAAGTCAATACTAGTACGAATGTTTTGGAGCCATAGAAAGGTGATTCCTTCTACAGTGGGTGTTTGGCATGCCCGCTGGATCGGTCGGCACAGTAAAGTGAAACGGGACGGCTTAGTTGGTTTCATAACCAGCCCTAGAGAAACTGCTGTTTTGTCTTTGTTTGCTTGTTTTTGCACAACGGCCTATCAGTTGCTTATGAACATATCAGATACATGAGTGCAATAATGCTCAGTCGTGTCCCCCTACCATGATGTTTTTTTAGTTTGTTCACATTCTTCTTTTTTCCGACTTTCAGACCGGCTACATATGACGCCCTGTTGCCTTTAGTCGAGAGTTACCTTAAGGAGGAGCTCCAGTTGAATGCATCAGTGACAGAAGGCAGTAATCCTCAAAATTTGACGAAGCCTGAAACGACTGGGTATGGGCGAATGACTCTTTCGCGGCTGGTGCAGTGGACGCTTTCGAAGAAACCTAGACTGGATCGTTTACTCGAGCTAGACATACGTGCTGACGATGGATCCTGGTTAGCATATGGTCCCGAGGAGGCGCGACTTAAACATAAGCTTTCTGAAGAGATTTGGGATGAGATGTTGACTGAGGCATTGGATGCTATGCTGCGGAGCTTTCGACGCACGTTTCGTCAAAGCAGTCATCAAAGTCCCACCGAACTAAGTGCGGCTGCTAGCTGACGTGGGCAAAACCTTCGTGTTTGTCCCGTCGATATTTCGAGCGTCAGTCTAGGAAAAGACAAAACCTCATACTTCCGGTGACCGCCTACATTGGACCTCAATCGGTGCTACATTTCTATCACTTCGATATCCTCCCATTACCTCCGACAAACTGTGATATGCCATTTCGGTTTAACAACCTCTTTATTTCCAACTCAGTGACCTTCTCTCGTCGTCCACGTTTCACTCAAGAGTTATTTCCATCCGTCGACACATTAACACCGTTTGTCTCGCCTGACTACAATACCAACAACAATAACGCACAAATAATGATCAGCTTCTATACCAGTGTGCTCGTAGGCCTACACTGATGCCTTAATTATGGGAACTTTATTGCACCTTCATCCATCCACACCATATTTCCCGCTTTGTGAATATTTCGCCTAGATTTCAGTGGTTTTATCGCACAGAATAATTTTTATCCGCAGAGGTGAATTTATTTGAGTAATTGGTGGATGGGTTGGTGCCAGTCCCCTTTCATTTGTTGCTCGACTAGTACCAAGACCCACGTGTACTCCTTCACCACAAAATTCTCACACATCCTATAACGGCGCACCTTTGCTAAGACCCCGAGAAATCCGAGCAAACTCGAGTAAATTGAAGGGATTTTTATTTTATGGAAAGCTAAGTACGCGATAGTTACACAATCATTGTACAGAGGATCTTTGAATAGAGGGAACCCTTCAATTTCGCTTGGAAAGAATTTTCTCATATGATCTCCGATCCGAACATTCGCGGGCACAATTTTATTTAGCTGGTTGCACCTTCCAGGATATGCTGGCCCTCTGATGTCTATGCCCAGTTCAGTAACAACGGTTAACTCATTCCTGTCTTTTTAAGAAATCAGTACGCTTCGGTCACCTTCCTTCCTATATCCTCTTTCGCTCGCATTGAACGTGTCATATTCCCTTGAAACTATGATGACAGCTACATCTACCTATAGTAAGATGAGTGCTGTTCAAAAGTATCACCCTCATCACGAGGCAGCAACGGTGTGCGCTTCGGTGTCTCACAACCAGGCCTTTAAGTCACATTCTGTTGAGTTAGGCATATTTCCGTTTGGCTGCGCCCGCTTGCATTTCGCCCGCAGTACACGGAACCTCCCTTCGTCACACCAACTTCTGCTCTGCAACTAATCACTTTTCCGTGCACACTACTGACGATTTTCGAGTAGCAAGATTTTACGTAGTAGGCATAACGCGACATAACCGGATCCAACCAAACAGAATGATCCTATTGAGTGTGGCTTAGTTGGTAAGAATATGAGCACAGCAGCAACCAGCGATATCTCATTTCACAACTACTTGCAGTCGGGTCGTTGGTAGACCTGAGACCATGACAACTGTCTCACGTGTTTCAGCGTCGTCATTATTCCAGCCTGTGGTAAAGTTTGAGTCGTTCCACAGGGCACACTCAACTATGACCACTTTCACCTATTCGGACGGAATGAGTCACGATAAAATGTCTCCCTCGGTCATTGACTGGGGTCAAACTTCATTTCTTCCGATGGCATGCATAACGTGAGCTCCAGTACATGTGCAACACGAGTCTAGCGCTTTCATTTTGTGTTGGCCAACGGTACCTCCAGCATTTGACCGGGAGTAGCGCTGTGCTAGACTGTTGTAGATGAACAGCCCGAAAATCCTTCAGTTACCTGGGGAGTAATCAACCAAAAACATGAAGTGTCTATTTTGTATGCCAAGAAACACCATGCAGCTCATACTGTGGTGCCCGTATCCAAATGAGAGACGTTTTTTGTGACGTATGATTCAAGCTGTTTGGATAAATCAGTGGTGTATTTTGCTCAGCAGTGTATTGTTAGCCGATGGGTATAGCTATCACCAGTACGGTATACTGATTCGTATATGGGAGGACAAAAACGGAAACATCAATCAAGCAGTATAACCCGGAATATTGGTGACCAAATAAGCATTAAACGGTTGTTATGCACCGGAAGCAAATCCGCCAAGCTGACTGCCCTCGATTGGTCTTCATAGTCCAAATCGAAATGGACATCTTACAACACGGACAGTCCCAGCTGATACAGTAGATGGCGGCTTACCTTTATGCATGTACTCGATCGGAGTGCTTTGGTGAGAGAATCAGCGACGTCTTTTGAGCATACTATTCACCAGAAACTACGTACCATGTCCAAAGGCTGGATTTTACAGAAAAGCGGACTGCCCGTTCGTGCAAGGGTGTTAACCAATGTCTGGTTGTGTACTCCTCAGGTTTCCCACCGCCACGCTTGTTTTTTTTTAAATTGTCATCTCTAATAGAAATCGGAGTAAGCCACCCGTAACTCCAGTCAGCTCTTCCCACTTAGCGTATTGTAAGACTGTCGCTGTTTTATCGCTGAAGTTTCTAGGTATACTTTCAATCTAACATGACGTTAGATCGATACAATGTTAAGAAGCCATAGCCCTCTGCGCTTCTAACCACGTAAACTCTGCATTGATTTATCGAGCGTGGTCCGAACTGCTGGACATCTGGAACTTACGAATGATCACCCTCTGCAAACTGTAGAAGCAGATAGGTTTTTTTAATTTCCTGTCTGCCTGCCCGAACATAGGTTTTCGCAACTCTTTTCACACACTTGCTTTCCAAACGTTCCGTAACCATTAATTGTCGTCCACATTGTGCTTGGCAGATGTGTGTGAACTACGTCTATGCGTTTCACTTTATTGCCAGTAACAACCTACCAGAAAGCAACTCGATTGCTTCCTTCTAGTGTCCGTTTAGTTCGATGGACTGTTTAATATGATGGGTTCAAGTTTTAAAGTTGAGTCGATGGGAGGATACACCTTGTCTTTTTTGACGGTGAATTTGACAAGAAAACAACTGCTGGGTGCTCCATTCGCGCCGCACCTGTTAGGTCCATTTTTTTCGCACCTCACGTGACACGGGCTGACACACGGAAGAGCATCTTAACCCGGACTGGAACGCGTTGTGGCGGTTATAACATCGATCGTCCACTGTGTTCTCTGTTGTTCATATTTTGGAGTGAAAGTTATTCGTGATGGTCTTCAGCATGTAGATGCACATTTGCCTGGCAGCTCGGGCTTCTTGACTACATCTTACAGGTTACTGAAACGTTTCGTGCACAAATCATTTAGCCAGCAGTTTTGTGCAATAGTGGCAAGTCGCTACTCAACTGCTGTGATCGCTGTGATCAACTGCTGCCTGCTTTCATTTGTTAGTTTGTTGTCTATGCTTCTCTAGACAGCCCATTTCGGAGGTTCGATACTTCGAAGCTACCTTACGTAGGTCCCTCAGCGTGAAGCATCACTCTGTGCCAAAAAGAATGTCATGTGGTCATTGTACAAGAGTACATTTGTGCTGAATTACTTGGGGGAGGTTTCGGTATACGTTCGATTGAGAATTAGGCTCAGCTTTACCAACCGGGTATGCATGTGTCAGTTTCCCGATGCGAACTGTTCAAACATCTAGTTGATTAGCATATCAACGCCGCCTCAATTACATGAAAATCCGATGAATATGTCAACCCTTAGTAATCCGGTCTACCCCAACTCGCACGAATGTGTCGTCTGGTTTACGATTAAGTGGTCCCTAACCGAACAATCACCCATCAAAGATTCGAAATCTTTCTCAAAATAACCGGCACTTGTCACTGGTCTTATATTTTCAAATCATACCGATCACTAGCACTTGCTTATTATTCGTACTGCCTCCCGTTTTTAATCACGTGGACCATATCCTCTTCAACATTTGTCGTAAGCCATAAGCTTCGCATACGAGTGTCATTTGTGGAAAAATTGACCCTGGGACCAAAATACTTTCTCTCTGGTAACTGGGAGACTAATCAAAAGGTCTTAGAAGTTCTGAACGGAAGCCGATTGGATCTTCATCGGTTTGTGTTTGATGCCCATCAAAGTTTCGGTAAACGAATGTAATTAGCCCTCTAAACTGATTACATATATTGTGCTAGTTAGCCAAGTTTTTGACGGTTCCAATGCGCCTACCACACGCATCAAGGAAAGGATACATGGCTTTCTGATGTTACGCCTTGATAACTAAGAAACTGGAAAACTATGGGTACTCAAAAACCTGTTACCTTTCATTTCTTTCTGCTGTGTGACTCAGTCTCTAAAGCTGTGTGCGAAAACGACTCCTGTTCGGCGACGAAAGTTGCGCAATATACTATGTGCATGTTGTATTTGTTCAGACCATACCCTGTTTGCTTCCATCTGGGCTGGCCATCACCTTTATACGGGTCTTGAATCCCAACGAAAACCACAGTGGCTAATCTGTTATATAAGTGGTATATTTTCGGACTGGATCGACATCGGGCAGGAAACAACAGCTTTGTCTTGGTCTAATGGTTAGCAGGTACATACTCTGATATAAACTTTAAAAACGCACACACACACGCATCCATCGGACTGGTGGATCACAGGTCTTTTTGAAATGTATCTCGGTTAGGCAATGGAGGAGTAGATCATTAGCTAGTATTCTTTTCTGTGTATATACGTGGTTATGTACACTCTGGGGGCGTTTTGTGCTCCGGAATCCTCAACAATCGCTATCCTCAGTCGGGTTTTGGGCTCGTCTGGACCGTTGTTCACGTGCGCCGGCCTGAGTCGTAAGTGATTTGAACGGTGTCGCTGTGCCATGTGCCACGGGAGTCAAATCACCCCCATCACCATTGACCTTGCCATGTGTCACTGGCGGATTCTCACATGAAGAACGATGCGTCCTGGTTAAATTTGATGTACTGTTGTCTGATTTATTAAGACTGTGGACTGAAGCACGAGTTTCCAGGAAACGATCCATGCTGGGATGTGTGCGGCCTTCGCCACTGCTCAGCGGCCTGAAAATGGATGAAGTTGATCTGTAGAGAGAGCCTGGACGTAGAGAATTAGGAGCACGGCTTCTGAAACGGACGGAGATGTACAAGGATGCGAGTGGATATCATTATATAGAATCTAACGAAAAAAAGCTTAGGGGCCCCTTCATTTCCTACAAATTACACAAAATGTCTGCACTTAAAACAAAAACTCATTCTTCTTCATGAAGTCAGCAGATTACCTCAATCTCGGGGATGTAGATGACTCGCTGTAGTTATCAAATCCACCATCTATCCTGCTCAAACCACTGCTAGGGGAATAGACCTTATCCTCGTCCTCCGTATTGCTATCGTCACGAATTCCTTGAATCCACTCGTCGGCCATTCGGCTTCTTGATGCCCTCTTAAGAGTAACAGCTTCCCGCGACGCAGTCAGATCGGCCTTAGCTCGAACCACTTCTGCTTCCAGGTCAGTATTACGACGCTCCAGGTTTGCCACACGACGCATTGCATTGCTGAGCTGATCCTCGAGGGCATCAATTTTCCATCGGCTTCTGTGGCTGCTGGCCTTAAGTTCCACCTCTGAAGATTGCGCAGTTTGCAAATCAACCTGTGAATATGAAGGCAGACACAATTGAACGTGATGAACCGCAAAAGATGGCACTTTTTTCACAGTTTTAATTTTTCCATTCAACGGAATTCAGCGTGCATCACTTTTGGATTAACCCTTTCAGTCGCCTCATCTTAGGCATTCTTAGGCATTCCAGAGAGTGACTAGCTTAAACTTATCAACTTTGATAACTTGCGCCTTTTCCAAAGTGACCTTGTTAATGTGCATCTTGGGAGATTCCTAAGCTAAGCTCTTTCAACTAGCATTTTCTTATTCAGTGCATACTGTTGGCGGCAGACTCATTCTGCTGCCCAGTTGTCCTAGTTTTCTGGCCCCTTTTTCCTTTGCATCCATAAGGTATCCATTTGACCGAACGGAATCACCGTGTAACGAGCACATGGATCTACTGAGCAATCAAACATTTGTTTCTGTATTTTTAAGTTCGTGTGTACATAACTAGATAGGCTAGATAGACAGTAAGCCTTGTCAAAGTTCAGTAGTCTTGGTTTGTAAACCCTGTAACTTGACGGATTCTGAACCCAATTATTTCTTTCCTGTGTTTGAGGTAGTCCATAGTAGACGCTAAACGTCTTACCTATACACGGTCACGTCGGCAATGCATATTTATACTCGGATTTCGGAATACCTCTTTCCTCCAAATTGTGAAAGACGCGATCACATTTGTACATCAAAATATCGATACTCGATTGCTTGCCAGCACGTAAGCAGACAGAGGGGCTGTGTTGGGTCTGTTGTCATTCTCATAGAAGTTGGCTGCTCGATTCTCACCGGCGACAAGCACCTGCATTAAAGATGATTAGGATATGAACAAAAACACTCCACCCCTGACAGTTAGGCTCGATATAAACTCCTGCTTTTTGGTCATATACAGCGATCTCTCCGTTCTGTCACTACGATAAGTCAGTTTCGAATACTGTGCTGCTCATGAGGGTCATCCGGAGAGATCGAGTCATCAGCTAATCAGTGAAAAACATACCTACGCCATTTCGAACTCTAAAATCCTATTCATGGTGACTTGAGTAGTTTCATAGGTGGTACCCTACACCGAACGGATACCGATACGCAGGAATAGCAATACAGCTTTCATTGTCGTTGCAGAGCACCTGGTAACTTTGAACAAGGTGCTCCATGAGAAGAAGGTGAAGGGTAGGTTTGTGACAATTCGGTCATCACATTGCAGTATCACTCGAGAGTTCATACGGTTTTTTTATCTTCACGCTGATCACCAGCTCCATTGAGTAAAGTCTCCATGTGGAGACTCGGAACCGACCACATTTGTGGCTGTTGATGGGTCGCACTTAATTTTAGCTTGGTAATCACCCGGTGAACTATTCATCAATATGCGAAAGACATCCTTCATTGGGTGAAACTGCGGACCACATTTTGCTTGGAGAATTCGCGTACTTACCACCAAATCTTACGAATTTAGGAACTGCACAAAAGGTTCTAATGGCTATTTTGCTGCAACCAGCCAGCCACGCGAAATGCAGACAGGTAAGACTACAAACTTAATCTGCACAAGCCAACGAATAAGATCTTACTGATGGTTTGGAATTTCCACCCTAGTTATGTGTAATCTAAAGTCTTCTATTTGCGCCCCACTAAGTCAACTAGTATATGACTAGAAAAAGCCTTCGCAACAAAAAAATAATAAATTGATCCATCAGAATGTGATCATCCTTCACTTGCCTGCAACCTCTCCATATCTTCACGGGCGCGTTCAAGCTCCGCTTTAAGGTCCGCAATTCTTGCTTCATGGTGGACCTCCAACTCGCGTAATCGGGCTTGCAACTGTCGCTTTTCCGCCGTCGTTTCGGCAGTGCATCCGGCCAAAGTTTGTTTCAGTTCTGTCAACTCTCGACGAAGACCGTCTCGTTCAATCCGGAGTTCCTCAAATTCACGCACTTTTGCTGCAGTAGATTCTTTTTCCGCACTCGCACGACCTGCAATTGTCGCTGCCTCCCGAATTGCCTCGTCACGTTCACCTTCCAGTTGCTGTAGCCGATGTACCTGGGCAGTTTTTTCTCTTGTGGCCCATTTCAATCTGTTTTCGGTCTAATTAAATTATGGAGAGTTGCATAAAGTGCCTTTCTGACGCCAAATTATTCATCAAGAAACGTTAATCCGGAGAATGGAACAAACATAACTATTACAAATAACTGTGTGTGCAAGCCAATTTCAGTGTTTACAGTCAACTCAGCACAATTTGCATAATGGGCTATCCATGGAGGTGAAGATCCTTGATAAGTACATTTGGGGCAGAGATGCTTTTTTGAATCACACGAATTCACCACCGACTTTCCAACGCTAGAACGGTGGAAATAATTTACGGCTCTAATACGCCTAAATGCGGTTAAACTGATCGAAAACATTTTGGGAAAAAGTCTGTTGTTTCCTTTATCCAGGCAACATCGTCATCTATTCTGGAACACATAAAAAGTATACTTTTTCAGCTGCCGCGGATTCACTTAACGTGTGCCATTAAGATTATAGCAAAATCGCACCAGTCTATGATTTGTTTGCCAGAATCCTCAAAACATTCAAACTTCATGTAGTCAATAGATGAAGGTGTGAATAGTTTTGAAAAATGCTGTAGCGCGTCGTATGAAACCATAGCAGCCTCAGTTCTCAGTGTGGACTGCTCTGTGTCCTTGACTGAACCGGATATAAAATACGACATAGCTTTTACGCACGATCAGCAGTGGACTAGATGACTATTTTCCCTTAGTTATGGAGCACTCATCAGCCTATCAGCCCAATGAAACCATCGCTGTTGTCCGACGTCGAAAGAATGCTTAAACCAACTCGTCCTTGGTCATGCCTGTTATTGGTTTCACTGAGTAGTTCACACCCAGAGCTTAAGAGTACATTATAGAGACTTGGCGATCACACAGATCTGGATGAGACTGAGCGACACGTGGGTCAATGTTGCGCAAGCAATAGTAGATAAAACACGTTCCCCAGTCGGGGAACGCAACCAATAAGACAGGGGTGACTGAAACTTTGGGCGACCAATTGTAATGACACTGACTTAACGGGCTAATCACTCGGTGAACAAAGTAGCGCGGTCACAAGAACTCGATGTGGAACACCAATCTGTTGAGGCCCATTCTAACGAAATTCGGCCGATCAACTGTCCCGAAGAAGACAAAAGTACTGGCAACTGGAGTTCACGAATTTCGAAGTCGACCGAGCCCGAAATTGATCTGAACGATACAGGTGTTACACGTTTCCAATAAAAATGGTGAGTGGGCTGTTTGAATCGCAACTAGTTTCCAATAGGACTTTTCTTAACTTCTCCCATCACCTATAACGAAGTGTGACTATTACAGTACACCTAATATCACTTACCAGGAGAACCTGAGGGGGCGCACCATCCATCCTAATGTCGGGAAATTACTCCAAAGACCCATTCAACGACAACATCCTCATTTCAATGTCTGCAGATATCGTGCAGTGTGAGATGGTATTTTAGTATCTTTTTCACGACATCCTAGTCACAGAAGCATGCGTCTGCACCAGTATTCTGGTGTGACACGTCGGCGATTGGATTCTTTCTCAAAATAGCGACGGAAAAAATTCGGCCTAATTGTTTCCTGGGATTTGAAACGACATCATTATCACGAAAACAGACCAAAGTGTAGATGTTGATCCTGAAATTCAGTATCATTGCCCATGTACTTGCTATAAAGCCAGAAAATACTCATCAGATTCTTTACAGCCTGTAATAAGTTTATCCTGCAATGAGATGAGAAACTGTAGTGTAAAACGCAGAAGTGTATATTTAGGTATCCAATGGTGTTTTCTCCCAACGTCTTGGCTTTTCAGAAGAAACGTCAAAGCATCTGACGTCCAGATATCCGGAACACTCGAAAGAATGTTAGTTAAATTAAAGTACTACGAAAATTTGAAATAAGCAAGAATTGGTTATCAAGTAACGTGGAAAGCAACCAAAGGTGTGTCTGACCTACACATTCAAGTACCCAAAAAACGATATCAAAATAAACTTTGCTCCATAAACCATGTCTCTAACGCTGTCAACTAAACAAGCACTTACATCTTCCAAAAGGCTGGTAGCATTCTGCAGCTTGACCTGTAGTACTTCCATTTCCAGACGCCATTGTTGTTTCTCACGTTCCAGTAGATTTATTCTTTCTTCCTTCTCATTCAGCTATGCAAATGAAAAGACAAGCGCCTGAAGTATTTGATATATGGAGCCACGTTTATCAACTAGCATAGTCATTTCGTGTGGAGCAAGGTTATCTTCGGATGATTAACTTTTATAAGCTGCTATTTAGTGGACAATCAGTTTTTTTAGGAATTCTCGGATTTTTGATTTCGTTTTCATAAGTAGGATGTTCAGCAGTACATTTTGTCCACACATTAGTTTTCTGGTGTGCTACGACAAAAAATTCAGGTCAGGTGCGTATAATTTCCATATACTCTGGACCAAAAACTTATAAGGTACAGGTGAATCCCTAGGATAGCAGTGTTATAAAACAAAGTGGAAGTGAGAAGACCAGGTACACACAACATCACAGGATAGGCTAGTCTGGGGACGTGCCCTAGCCACTGACCTCGCGCATGCCTGATGTAGTTTGGGCTACTGAAAACGATGTCGCACATTGCATGTGTGCACTTGAACCCCATCTGTGATTCACCCCACATTATTCTATCAGGAAAACTTTATGCTGACTGATCAAAACCTCGACAACTGTACTCTCTTTCGAAAGTCAAAGATATGCACCAACTGTTCTGAAAGGCTTATGCTTCACATCGGTTAAGGGACAATTTAATTTTCTTTATACAAATACAGAAACAAAATAACTGGCACTACAAAATACTTATCAGTTTCCAGTTGTTCAGTAAAAACATCCAGAGAACATTAACATTTCATCAAACCAACAAACCTCTTCGCGTGTTTTTTGTGGATCATTCTGGCGGCGGAACTGATCGAATTCCTCTTGTAATAGCTCCAAGGATCGTTTGTAATGAGACACATCAGCCCGAAGTTTAGATTTCATTGATTCCCATTCATCATTCACTACAAATGAAGTGAAGCGCAAAGTGATCAGAGTAGACCGTTAATGCAACGGAGGGTATCGGAGGACTAATGCGGACTCCACATCTTATGCGTTCATTGAGCAGTAAACAAATAATGCTCATATAGTCTGCTAACAATGCAAACGGGTACACCACAGCTGCTTCCATCCAGTCTTTCAAATTCCGTTAACACGTTTTATTGTCCGTTATAACGTTCCCTCTTTAGAGGCATTTCACGGAAGGACCGGTCGCAAGTGCTTCCCTATGCGATCAATCCGTTCGTTAAAAACAGACTTCAAATGATGAGCTGAAAATGGTCCTCAGTTGTGCACAACTCTATTAGAGAGGAAACAAGTTGAAGTGCTCACGAACTAACTAGTAATCGTTTTATGAGTCTGATTCAGCGGTGACTTCGGAATATCACCTGGGTGGATTGTCAATAATAGACGCAACACGTGGAATTACGTTCGTTTTGCACGTGGACAGTGCATGCAGCAGTAAAAAGACTTGGAAATACATGCACACAAATATCACACTAATATCCATCAATAATCAGCCCAAATAAATGTCACACATAGCGCGCAATCTATCCAAACTAATTACGGATATTCTATAAGCTCATGTTTCAAGCCCAGATAAAGCTTCCTAAGCGTCCTTATGATGTTACTGTATGTTTTGAGCGGGGGTCTTAAATGCGATGAACCCATTCGAATGCTTCTTAGGTGAGGTGAACGGCTTCAAGGTTAAAATCCTTTATGCCGCACACTGACTTATGAAGAAAAGTGCATCTCTTTGATACTTACAGGGTATTTCCTTATGTATAGGCCGCTTCCACTCTAAGGCAAATTAATTTGATCATTACCTGTAGGTTTCTGATAAGAACTTACAACTATACAAAGCACATAGCAATCGGAAATCTAAAGTTTTCGGTACATAACCTATTTGTGGTGCGCGAAAACGTCTTCCTAGTTTCTTTTGTCCCCGCCGATTTCAAATACTGGCCGTACAAACCCAACTACTATTGAATGTGGGACACAGCTTTTCTGCATTACGAGAATGTTTTTAAGCTCCAGCATAGTATTCTGTCGGAAATGTTAGCTTCTGGTTTTCGATTCAATCGAGACTCATTGACACATTTTACAACCAAATGTGAAATATTTCCACATCGTGGAAACACTGTTCATTTGTTAGACCGTATCATAACGCACGGTTCCCAACAATCATCCGTTCATCATCGTCGTTTCCTGTTAGTGTTTAAAACTTTCACTCGACCACAAACCCTGATTCGCTATAATCTGTATTTTCCTGGCCTGCGCAATACCTACCCTTTTAGTAGCAAGACACAGCTTTTCTGCATTACGAGAATGTTTTTAAGCTCCAGCATAGTATTCTGTCGGAAATGTTAGCTTCTGGTTTTCGATTCAATCGAGACTCATTGACACATTTTACAACCAAATGTGAAATATTTCCACATCGTGGAAACACTGTTCATTTGTTAGACCGTATCATAACGCACGGTTCCCAACAATCATCCGTTCATCATCTTCGTTTCCTGTTAGTGTTTAAAACTTTCACTCGACCACAAACCCTGATTCGCTATAATTTGTATTTTCCTGGCCTGGGTAATACCTATCCTTTTAGTAGCAAAACGAAAATACTGTTCTGTTTAAAAAAAATTTTGATTTATGGGTCACGATCCCTAATAAATCTTTCACACGTTGTTTATGTCCCATCGAAACTGCGATAAGCATCAGCTACCACTTCAGAGCACTCCAGATGACGTAAATTTCATGGGGAATTGCTACTAGACATGGGATAATGAGGCTCAGTGTGCTGATGAATGTGGCTGTCTTTCATCTATTTCACACTTGTGAAATTCCGTTTGTGTGAGTTTCAATCAGATCCCTTTATTTCACAACGACGCCTTCGAAAATTTGACTCAAGCAAACACTGTTCCCTCAGTGGTTGTATGGAAATCAAGAGGACCGTACCTATGCGAACTTCAAAAGCACCAATGTCAGTCGTGAAAAAAAACGAAAGCGTGGCTTGAAAACGCCGCTTACTCATGAGTAGTCTAATCCATATTAATTTAATGCTATGCTTGGATCGACTTTTGAGTATTTGATATCTAAAATCAGAATGGAGACAGTGGGTCGGTTTACGGGAGCACAAGTGTGAATTGGTCGAGCTGAGGTGGGGACACTATATCGTGAGTAATTATGCTCATCGAAACTCAGAACAAGGTTTGTGTGAGCAGGTCATCCAATGAGGAGCTCCTGGTTTATCACGCGAAACGACGTTTGCATGCATCAAAATGTACCTCTAATGACTTTGGGTCGGAGTTCCTGGGTGTATGCGTAGGAACCGCAATGGTCCAAAAGTTTTCATCGTTAGCTGTGAAAAATACACTCAGCAAAGTTTTTACTGTGTGCACTTATTAACCTACAAAGCATATGATCTTTCTAGGCAGACTCGATTTTGTTTGAAGTTCTGAGTCCACTGCGCCCCACCAGAACCTAGAACAGCCACTCATGTGGGATGTTCACAACATGGGTTCATTGAAACAGTGCTGATCCCAATCTATTCTGCAACGGTCACCTCAGACTTTTGGTTGCAGAAACTAACGTGTGAGCGTCATTCCGAATAGTGGAGGAATTCACTATTTACTGTTTCTTGCACTGTACTTGATGGAGGAAGTTTTTAGTTCAACATAGGTGGACCCAGCTGTCTGTTCAGATACATCCATCCTTCTATGAAACATCTACCCCACATTTACTGCCATGGTCTAATCTGCGAGTGGTATCACTTCGCACGTGGCACGAACTGAACCGTGTCTGGCGACGACTGCGTTTTTGTGTAGGTCCAGTGGAATCACCTGTTTTTATAAGTCTCCCTTGAACAACATGTGCGTGTGAAATTTCACACCATAATTTACAACAGCGTGTTCTGTCAAGCACCAGTGTTCTCACTGGTGTTGCTATTACGATGAAGTTCTGTTTCAACTGTATTCATATTTTGGCTATGTCTTAGGAAACGTCAAGTGACGAGGGCATCACACAGAGTGATAGGAACTAGGTTTCTGTGGAAGTAACCAAGTCAGGAATGAAATCGTTCCCTTCAAATGAATGAACGTTTTGCTTATCGTGAGGAGTCTGAACCATTATTATCATTGGCTAACACAGCCTTTCCTTCATGGGAGTTGAGCTGTTTTTATTTGGTAGAAAGCCAGGTAACTTGCTTAAATCGAGAAAGTTTGATCATGTAAATATAGGTGCAATTGCGGAAGCCCAGTGTTCTGTCTACTAAGGAAGTGCCCTAGACTCGTAACTTCACATTATTTTATGCTTGCCTCTATTATGTCTATCGTCAATTCTTCCAGGCGCAAAGTATGCTATCCTAATCCAATTAACTCAAGCTCCTCATTCTCGTCGTTCTCGTCGACAGTTTGTTCTCCTCTAAGTAAAATTGACTGATCTTCTCCAAACAATTTTCGTTGGCGGAAGTATATTATGGAATTACCTTGTCTTAGTTTCAGAAGCGGTATCTTACGTTTCTCTGTCAGCATTACCCGGGGGAGATAGGGACGTTCTCTCCAATGAAAGCCCGTTCCAGAAAAGTGTCATGCGAAATATTTAACTGATTATACCCCATATATCTTATATATACCCTTACTACTTAGCTTTGGCTACCAGTTAACACATACAGAAATTATCAAGTGGATTCTTTTGACGCAACCAAACATACGTGGTTCCCAGCGTAGGCTGGACAGCTACTCGACCAGTTCCTTTTGGTGGGACTTGCAATGTGTCAATCGATATGCTAAGTTGACCGATGAGCATACGTTTTTATGGCAGTGAAGTTAACTATACTGTTCTATGGCTTGTGTCCTTTGCTTTCCTGTAGGTCAAACAAAGGTGTGAGTATCAGATAAACAAACGATTGTTCTGAGTCATCCATGGCTTGGGCCTCCAGTACAGCTTGGACATTCAACTTTGGGAATCCGAAGGAAGGCATCCTCCCATTTGCGATATATGAGTAAAAGATGGGTTATTCAGAATAAGCTATGTGAAAAATCCGCCACAACGAAATCAGTGTCCACCCCACTGATGGTAAGTTACAAACCTGGACTACACTGATGAACTAATATCATATCAAAGAGGAATGAGGGCTTGCAAGAGGAATCCGCTGGGCACAGATTCCGTGCGGGAAAATTCTCCTAGACTTATTGTGATGTTTACCGGGCTTGTAAGTAGGTGTGTTTCAGCTTCATACTAAGCTAACTTTGATCATTCGGATAATATAAATGTGCACGCAGTCTGCGATGTCGACCGGGCTTACAGAGCTACCAACTGAAATTATTCATCATCACGTTTTACTGACGTGAGCATGAAAAGTAACCAACATACTTGCCAGCTTCCTCGTATTAAAAACCCATTCTGTTGATGATCACTAGGACGATGCTGAATAGTAAGGAGCATCTGATTGGTAGAAAGACCATGAGAACGGTACCACGGTAACTGTTTCCGAAAGGATGATTTATTTTGTGGGAAAATGACAAGGTGGTCTCAAACAAACTTTTCTATATTTATAATTACTTCTGAGGAAATGTTATTCTTAGCCAGGCTCATACACATAGAGGCTAATTTTCGGCACACGGAAAATAGCTTCAAGTACATAACACATTGAGTATTCAGTCGTCACATTAAACAAGCGAATCTGTCTACACAGCAGCCCTTGTTCACAGTGGAGTCTACATAGACCTGGCCCTGGGTGTTAGAGACATACTGGATGCAATGCAATCTATCATTAGAATCCAGTGCAGGTTTTATTAAAAATATTCCACTGGCGAAATATATCCGAAAACCGTTTCAATGCATATTCATACAATTGCACTTTACTACCAAGCTTCTGATGAGAAAAATTAGCTGAAGTGGTTCTACAAATGTAGGCTAGCTAAATGCGAAGCCTAATTCAATGAATCGATTGAATATTCCACCTACGCTCAGCAAATTCAGAGCGATTGTGTTTTTGTGCACCATGTTTTCAGTGACATAGTTCTGCAAAAAGTTCGCCGGAGGCGCCGGATGAACATGTGTGGGTTCATGGCAGTGGAGGAACAGGACGGCGAACCTCCCTCGTAGTGAGTAGGTAATAGTAAGTATACAGTAAAAGTTTGAATGTCCTGTTTTCAAGGCTTTTTGAGTTGTAGTAGGCGATCTGCGCATCAGATGAGCCCACAATAACCGTTTCATGGCAAGGATGCCCTGTCACATAAGCCAATGAGAGTCTACTTTAAAATGGGAATTGGTAGAATGTTCCATAATACTTGCAAAGTCAGTCACCTTTGTACAATCATATCGAGTATTCAATCATACAGGCCACCCGGGTGTAAGTTTATTAACAGTTTATTATTATGGAGAAAACTAGTAATCCTGATGGGCCTATATGGTTTGGTTCTTTTACAGAAACTAAAAAAGGTTGCTCGATACACTGTCCGGAACTGGGAATAAAATCGATGCCTGGAGATTGAAATAAAAACTGAAATAAGAGTTTACTTCGCTCAGCCACACTAAAGAAGAATGAATTACAGTGAAGATTTATGCTTCTCAGTTTGAATGCAAAGTATGTGGCTAATACGAAACCATTAGAGGCCATATTCCGAGGGGTGAGCGTTTTCTCCAATAACCTGCGGGCAAGCTTGATGATGTTTAATGACGAAAAAACATCACCATTAATTAACTTACGCATCTCTTCTTCTGGTTCTGCCAAGTTGCGCAGTTCTGTTAGTTCCCGTTCCATATCTCGGTTCTGTTGTGTAAGTAATGCTACTTTGCGCGCCTCTTCTTCCAGCTGTTCCGCCATTTCCTTCATTTGACGCTGATTCATCAAATCTCGCCTGGAACAATTCTCATCAAAATCTTCTTGAACATCACGGAGCTGTCGTTCCAGAGCACTGATGCGATTTCGGAGCTGGTTATTTTCAGACTCTAAAACTTCCCTGTCCTCGATTTCCGATTTAATTTGTTCCTGAGAAAATGGATGGAAAACATTTTTGGAACGACTGGCTTTATCAACCGTTTATTCTGTAGGTTCGACGCGTTTGTTGAACTGCAGATCAATGCATGCAGTCTAGACTTAGGAAGTACGCTAGGTGAGTTCAAGATAGGTTTGGTGAAGTTTCTCTAATTATTTATTTGGAGTTTAGTTTGTCCTGAATTTCTTCTAATGCCTTCCTCGATTTATCTTACTAGTACTCTTAGAGTGAGACACCATCATTATAGTAGTACAGAATAGAGACACTATAGTAACACCTCAGTACAACTGGTCAGTTTGTAACAAAGAAGCGATTGGATCCCACAGATTTTAGTCAGGTCTTATTCATGCCAGCATTCCATACCTGTAACACGACATTCTCTACCTCAGGAAACTGATGCGCGTTGACATTCCTGGGCAGAGCACCTGGTTAAGCGACGAATGAATTTTGTGTGCCCGCTAATTGATGCATCTTCTTGAATGGAGCACAAGTTTTATGCCATAACAGCAGAGTTGGTTGCTTTTTCGCGAATATTTGAAACATACACCTTTCATCTGCCGACACTTCAGGTCAAGATGACAGCAACAATACTGTAGGGGGCGAGAGTTTCAAGTAGAATATTTGAAACATACACCTTTCATCTGCCGACACTTCAGGTCAAGATGACAGCAACAATACTGTAGGGGGCGAGATGTTTCAAGTAGTTAGAACGCGAATTTACTGACTGGAAGGTCCGTGCTTCGAACACTACCTCTGCCTCTCGACTTCCCCTGTCTAGGTTTGGGCAACCTGCCAGTATCCCACCCCTCGTGCTTCCTTCGGGTGGCATGGCAGCTAGGTACCGAAAGGGCGCTACAGCTGAGCGAACAATACTGTAGTCTAAACGAGGACTTAGGCTGTAGGTATTCCGCTGATGCTTCCCATGCAGTCTGGCATGGTGGTAGAAGACCATGAGGCATGTGTCTTTGGACAGAAATCGAATCCAAGAAAAGCCCTTCGAGTTCCGATGGTTAAAGTCTGGCTGACCTTAGAAACCCCACGAAAAACCCGAATTTACAGTCTTCAATCGGTGCGGTAGATCACTGTGCAATATAGGTGTATATGAGTGGCGTGTGTCAGTATTTTCAGTCCAACTTCATCGACCACTCGGCCTGTAAGCACAGCGCCGCGCAGCCATTTCCCACTGACTGTCATCCTTTCAGTTTTCTCATTTTACTTAGGTCTTCATACACCTTTACCCAAAACGCTGTTCCAGCTTCATCAAATGTATGATTTTCTGTCCAAAGTTCAAAGCATTGGCGCGTAAAATTTCCTCTTATCTTTTTTCCTTTCTCTTTTCTTTTTTCTAAGAAACCGAGTAGCACTTGAACAAGTTGCATGATGACTGGCCTAGATTTTCAGAGCAAACTCTGTAATGACAATGAGAAAACGGATAACCTAATCTACAACCAGTAGCAAATAGCTGTCACTGCACTACTGTAATATCTGGATAATGTTTCATAATACCATTTTTTGTTGAGTCTTTTTTGGGTTATCTCAGACTGTGCCAGAAATGAGCCTCAGTAAAGTATCGTCGTCCTACGGAAGTGACTGCTCATCGCCACATCAAGTTGAACCGCTTCCAATAATCAGCGTTAGTAACACAGGGAAACGGCAAATCATCCAGTGATGGTGGATCAACAAAATACTTTACCCTTATATACAGCGACCTACCCACTGATCTTGCAGGGGTTAGCATGCGTACACTTACCGACTTTTCGGACAGCATTTTATCTGCTTCCAAAAGCTGTCGCTTGAGCTCCACTAGTTCATCGTTAGCACCACTCCTTGTTGTCAGGTCGTCAAACGTGGAACGATCATCCTTGGTGGGTGAAGGAGATTTTGCCGCCTGATACTGCTGAATACGTTCCAGATTAACCAGAACTTGTGGGGCCAGTGTGCTCTCTTTGAATATGTCTAGCTCGCTTCCTGGCTGGAATGGGCTGTCTGCCAGTGCCGCCATCGCTTTAGGATTTGCAGAAAAGTAGTCCCGGAGTTGACTCAACAGAATGCGATAGGAGACGAGCTGTTGCTCCATATCGGGGGTTCCCGGTTCGGGCTGCAAGAGTATTTTTTCCCGAAAAAGCCAACTTTTATGCCCACACTGACACGAGAACTTTATCATTAAAATCCAAGACAGAGAGTACACAAACAACAAAATAACCCGTGGATGGCTGACACATTAGGACAGGCTTTTCATTTGCTTGATCATTCAGTCGTTTGAAGCAAACAAAAAGATCTGTTGCGTGAAGTTGACCAAAGTGTGTATGTTTAACGAACCCGTTGATAACTAAACAAGAATCCTTGCTCAACTAAAAATTTGATCTGGTGACTACCCCGTGGGGAGTTGACACCAGCCACGACAGACAGAAGTGAAATGCTAGAAATATGAACCAAAAATTAAAAAGAACATGGTCGATAGAAGTGCAAGGTATGCACTGTTTTTTGTTGACGTGTATGTCATTAATCCACCTGATCTAAGTAAAATGCTGACTGACCGGCACAGTTCGATCCGAAAATCCAGCTGACAATAAGCCACAAACTGGATTTTACAAAAGCTTTATCCTTAAAAAGTTAAACACTCCATTCAAAATGTAATTACGCGGTGTCCAAACAATCAGAAGTAGCCCCAATGGTGCTTTCAGCGCCGCGACCCGCCGTGATAATGAAACCAACTGCACCCCAATTTTATCGGTCAGGATAGAATGTTGCCGAACACAATGGTGCCGCGTCTTTCAATGGAGAAATTGTTCGAAATTTGAACGTTGTGTGGTTTAGGATCTTTGAATCTTTCACCTTCTAGTTGATAATTCGATCAAATACACACCTTAAAGTTTCTGTATTTTACATTCAATGGTGGGCTTTGGGTTGAATCCATTCCTATCATCGGGTGGTTTTTCAACGGGTTGACTGAAATATTTTCCGACGCCCCGAATGCGATTGCAAACTTTAGCTGTCGCACTGAAATTTCGAATAGATAGGGAAATTCCAAATAGGTTTAATTTTTACTTTTGGTCCCAATCACGCCACGGAGAATGACGCGTTCCACGTGTCAGCTTGGCTGGTCTAAAGTCGCCCGCCACGTCAATGCCACTTTTACGTCTTTCTTCATACTCACGCTCGGATCTATGGCGATTTTCAATGCCTTCGATACAAGTTGCTGCTGTAGGAATTCATACTCAACACTTCACCGATCCCCAACACTCCCTACTCCGGTTACTAAACTACACAGATCAACTAAATCTGTAAACAACAACTTAGAAGAATATTTAGCCAACATGCTCTAAAGTGGAAAAGAAAGGCCTGCACCCTGATTTAGCTTCGGAATGATTTCCCCTGGTACACTCGTTATAAGTGTTAGTCGTCCATACAAGCCAATAAGAACTGTTGACCCGTATTCAGCATTGATTATGTCTCCTGGTAGATCACATTGAATAGTTTTCCGTCTGTCCCAAAAGTTAGTCCTCTCAGTAAATTACTCACTTGTCCTGACGAAGCTTTTGTGTCCAAAGCAGAAAGTTGTCTAACGGTGAATCTGCCGATTGTTTAACAGACCCCTCTGAGACAATAAGATCTCGATCGCCTGCAAACTTCTCGCAATTCGTAGGTGATTACCTCTTTTTACACCTCTTTTTTTACCTCTTTTTACCTCACTCCCTTGATAAATTCGTTGTGGTCAGTTTCCTCTTAGCATACTGATTGCTTCAACTAATGTACCCACAATTATGAAGACCATGACAGGTTGACCCTCCAATTTCCTCAGAATTTGCACATAACAAGTATTTTATTCTTCTAGTCAAAGACATTACCTTGCAATTTATATGCAAATAAAAGTCACTGATTAAAGTATAAATATTTAACACTTGTTAGAAACATCCTGAATCTACCAAAACTAGTATAGCAAGAATGCCATTTTCGCCAGATTCTTATCAGGGGCCGCAATTCCGAAATTCGCCGATTAATTCGAGCATATAGCGCTAATTACCTAAAGAAGAGTAGGCAAAGAATTGTACTGCCAGAATAGGACATAGGTGAATCGTTTACGGATACCATGTCTCGGTATCGATAGGAAATCCCCAGGGTGCATTGCTCTCTGCGGCTTGGTACTCTGCGGCATCAACGAATATTAACTTACTAATTGATGTTTCCTTGAAATTTGGCACTCTAACAAACTAGCTTCACACAAACATTTATAGATACTAAGGGTCCTAATCAATGGTAGTCGAGGGGGCGGAATTTCCATGTATACTTCGTCTGCTTGGGTTTTTTGAAAACAAGTTGTCCAGCGTCACGGCCGGATTATTCCGATCCTCCATCATAGTGTCAGTGTGGTCGAGTCTCATGAACAACAGGTTTTACCCTCAGCACAAATGCCACTGACCTAAGAAAACAGTGAATAACAACAAAGTAATGCGCGCATCCTAAACATCACGCTGACCATAGTCGTAAGACGCAGACACCCACACTTTGTGTGTTGGTTTGGATGGCCTCATGGAGTGCAACATATGTCTAAACAGTTTATATACATGCAAATGAAAACTAAACTGTCGTGCTGCCTCTGATTCATCTTTTGACAGCACTGCTAATTTGATAAACTGAGTCAGATTGTTGAGATTTCGCTAGATCATTTTGAATACTCGCTCCTCAGAGATTTGGTGGTTAATCTCTGAAAACTGCCTGGCATTGCCGTGTAGAGAAAGCCTCGGTTAGTGTTTGCGTGCTCATTCAGACGGTCGTTGGACGCCATCGCGACTTCACCATCATAGCAACAAGTAGACGAGTGGACACTAAAACATGCAGAGGAAGAGGACATACCCTATTCGAATCGTGGGAACCAAACGAAAGTTATCTTAAGGGGGAGTATTTTGACGAGCAGTGAGTTTCACCGGATAACCTCTTGGTTATCAGATAACCAGCAACAGTTCTTTTAAACGCAGGCCTATTACTTTACCGGAGACATTTCCTGTCGGTCAGTCAGCATCTCAGTGAAAGAAACGTATTTCTACCGGCAAATTTAGCGACCGGTACGGAAATTATTTGAGCCTTGTGTTTCAGGCAGCTGATGACTGGGCGTTTTCATATCAGAGTAACATAGTGTCTTAGTATATAGATACTAATAGTATTCTGCTTTTTCCAAGACGCATATCACTGGTAGGGTTTCACAGGCATTAATATGCGAGCGATTGGAAAACCATACCTGTAGGAATGTACAGAAGATTAGGAAAGAACGGAAGTAAAACGCAACTCTAATTCCTATCACACTACAGTAAAGTGGGGCACAATAAAATGTGAAAATGTCAGAAACTTCACATGCTTACCTAAGTAGTAGCGTCAAATATAGAGGTCTCTACGGGCTTTGTAAGTGATTTTTATAAGGGCAAGGCACGCCAGTGAATCAGAAGCCGCTTAAAACCTTCGGTGACTCCAAAGTGTGACCTCCTCCACTACGATGCTTAAGTGGGACTGATTTTCGTCTCATACGGTGAGTTGCATTGTGGACTCTCGGTCGACACTTTGGGGCTGTATTAGAGAATTGTGGGTGTCCAGAACCACTAAGAACCGTCACAAACTTCTTACCAGAGCTTAATCTTCACCGACGTCATCGATCCTTTAAGCTTTGTTGTTAACATGCCCCTGGAGAAACAAAGAAAGTCGTGCTGTTAAAGACAACCACAGGTGGCGCTGACTAACAACCCACACCAGTTTGTATATTGGCCTTGGGACCTTGATTGTGAATCACGTTGCATCTAAATCTAAACTATAACCACTGACTTTCTGACCGACCAAAATATCAACAAGGATAGTAGAACCATGGCTTTTACAATACTCTCGGGCCCTAATGCCTTCAGATAAAAATGATGCCACCGTCTTTGCTAAACATCACACATTTCATGTTAAGAATTAACAGCTGTTTTCCTGTCTAGTTCATTCAGTCACTCGTGCTATGCGCAACAAAGAATATTTCAGTGCATCTACGTTATGTGAGTGTGGTAGCTTGAGAGACATGTCGGAGAACAATGACGTGCATCTAAGTCTGCGTGTTGCTTTAGGCTTACCTTATACGAACCATTGACTTCCAGCTTATTCGTCTCCGATGGGGTTGGAATCTCAAGAGCCTTGGTCTTCTGTTCCAGTTGTCTACTCAGTTGGGTAACCATATGCTCCAAGTTGCGTTCATATGTCTTGGCTTCGGCAATGGTGGTGGTCATATCCTCTAGCTCGGCGCTAAGTCGCTCAACTTTGCTCGATTCCAAGGCCAACAGGTGTTGCAAATGTTCAACTCGGTCACCAAGCACATTCACCTACAAAGGAATCAGTCCATTTCCAGGGACTTATAAGTTGACAACTTTGATAAAACGTTCATTTTATCTTCAACCAGATTGTTTTTATGACTGCTTCCGTGAACCGCTAAGGTTACTCAAGCAATCATGAGAAAACCGTGAGTTACAGGCAAGTTAAATCAAGCTGTGCATCGCCCTCCGTTAAAATCGTATTTGGAGCCGGTGACTGAGGAGAGTGACTGTGAAGAGTTTGTTGAAAGCATTTGCTTTTCGGTGAACCCAGCTCGATAAAGATTAAAGATAAAGCTTTGTCCCCGGAGTAAACATCCCCAGAAGTGTCTCAATGTCATCGCTCCATATTACTGACCCAGGTTTACCCACCAATAGAAAAGTTAGTAGATGTTACCATTTCATGAACAAGACTTGATCTGACTATCTCGATTGGTGTAGAATCATTTATAAACACACCAAAATGTTAACGTAATGACTGAAACTGTAGATTCCGGAAAGCAAGATAGGAAATTCATGAAAACTCAATAGGTGCAAACTACTCATCATTGGGATTTTTGCTATAATGATATATACAACAATACACAAAAGTGGCAGGCAAAGGGTTTCAGTGCATTCCAAGTGATCTAGTACTGTCACAAACTATATATTTTTTACGTGAATTCTGCTTGTCCGGTACTACTTCATGATGAACACGTCAGTGGAAGCCTGCGAACATGTTGAAGTTGATTTCAGTTAAACTGTTGGGAGAGGGCAATGATCCAGACCAGGAATGTCTTGGTATTTGAATACAGCATTTTTGTTGTCTCAGCTAACGGAATTTTACGATAACAGCCTCGGCCGTAGCAAGACCATGGAGTTGTGTGCGGGGACATGACATACTATGTCGAAAGCTGTGCTTGGACTGAACAGGTAACCAATTTCCAGCAAATGGGGGCTAATTATAACATCAGTGATTTTCTTGGTATCTGGCTGGACAGAAGCCCTGTAGTGTATCCTGATCCGTCACATGACCATTATAACTTTTACAGGTGACTGAGTAGCTTAGAGTGGAGGAGTCTAGGTATGGTGACCAGTTTGTCGAAGAAACTAGCCACCTACACAATTCAGGAACGCCGATGAATGTGTTTACTGTGTTTTCGCACTCAGCACAGCCGCATGACAGCTTGTTCTCGCGATGGCGGAGGCTGTACTATTCGGAACCAATCCGGGCGGATATATTATGAATTGATCGACGCTTCTTAAATTATCAGAAAACAAACTCTACCTTCATCATTATCGTCCTCAGATCCAAATCTCGCGGTTTCTCATAAGATACATTGCAAGAGTTAAGAATAAGATCGGACTGCTTACAGGCAGTTAAATTCCTTGGCAGACGTAATCTCACGGAATAAGCCACCAGACCGCTTTAGGGATTTAATTTACTCTTTACCGATTCATATAGCTTTCGTGGCAGTAAGTATGTTAGCCACTTAGGTGCCCAGTTGTCTAGTGCTGCATCACTTGTTCTAGTCAGTCATGAAGAGTCCATCGATTGCACTGAGAAATTGTTGAACATGCTTACGTCATGCGAAACTTTGGTACCTAAGTTTAGGAGAGAATGGAGACCACTTGCGGTACTGTGTTTCCGTTCATCCATTATGGTGACAAAACGAAGGGGCACCAGTGAAAAAAATTATAAGGATATGGAGAAGTTACGTTAATATGAAGAAATTGGAGAATCAACCAGCTTATTTGAACACAGCGTTTTGGACAACACGCTATTGGTGATGTTGCCAAAATCTCTTCGACACTCAAGACCTGCACCGCACTTCTCGGAGCTCATCGAGTCGGAATCAGAGGAGTTTTCTGTCAGCGTCAACCTAACTCACAAATGATTTTATTCCCCCAAAGTGTTCTGAACTGTAGTCAAACCGGGAAAATCCAAAGCAGTCTCTATTGGTATGATAACCGTGTATACTTGAAAAGGTTACCCATCAGTCTGTTAGGTAGATTGAACCCTATAAGTGACTACTGCGTTATGTACACGAAATAACAGAACAAATACACACGCGGCAGTGGAACCTGACACTACAGCACAATGGTGTGTAACGGCTAGGCCCTCGTTCCGCACGCCAGGTGACCTGCTGAATCGTTGAGCATGTGGTTGAACACATGAGTTCGGCAAGCTCGCTAGCTCACTCAACTGCTTGTAAACATAAATGTGTGGTGAGCATAAATTTGCATACATTTGCTGCAAAACCGCACAGCCGATCTAGTGGGGAATTGACCTACGTAAATATTTCTATTGAATGTACATGAAGCCAACGAGGAAGGGGCTGTAACTTTTTGTACGATGTTTGGGCCTATTTAACAACGCGAAGCAAGGCATGAATCGTAATGCTTTCGGTAAAATAATACACCAAAACCATTCTTTGACTTAAAATGTTCTGAGGTTAACCACTATCGGGGCAAAGAAACCAATGATTAAACTTCATCGAAAACGAGGCTTACTGTATTCATTGACTGCAGACTAAACACTAAATATGAAGCTTCTATATCCGCCATGTGATTAGTTTGAGAACATTGTTCTCACATCGCTTAGTGCAAATTAAAATTGTGCGTGAGTGACACAGCACATCTAGAGATTAAGAGTAATGAAGGTGTCATCAAACAAAGCGGTAGTGGAAGGGGTTCAAAAGCATGTTACTTGAGTAGAAATAGGCAAGTAGTAGTTTCGTTTGCAAAAAGAACGAATCCTAAAGCCAAACGAAGGTCTTCTGGACCAAAAGCTTGAACTCTGTATCCAGAAAGTCACGCAGCATCCGAGTAAGGCTGTTGAACCTATGGACACAGAATATAGTCAGCTGTGTCAAATATCAGAGCGAATGTACTGTCTATTTGATTGTTTCTGAACTGTTCTGCAGCACAAACCAAATTCAGTATTTCACAGCGGGTCGTTTCCTCACGGGGACCACATCCTGGATAGCGTGCAACACCAACAACACTCTAACTGTTCAAAATCTCTGTCACACCCCTCTGTCAATTATCCACCCATACAGTACAAAGGTCGCTCGTGGGCAGTCAATACGAAAAGACCCAATTCGTTGTTCGTATTGTGCTCGTATTCTGCAAAAGAAAACAAACCTCAGTGACTTTTCTCATTTCGAAAACGATTCTGAGCATGGCTCGCGTTCAC